TGATGCAATGCGTGAAGTGTTCACGCAGTCCTAAAGGCACTATGCGTCTCGCGCTGATCGCACTGTATTTACCGCAATGCGTGAGGTATTCATGCATTCTCGTAGGCGCTATTCGTTTCACGCTGTCCGCAATGACCGCACTGTGTTTGATGCAATGTGTGAAGTATTCGTTCAGTCTTGTAGGCGCTGATATGTGTTACATGCCGATCGCCGCGCCGAGGGCTTCTCCTTTTCATCTCAAGTCCTCGTCATCATTTCGCTCTAGGTAAGTCGTGCCGTTCCAGGCCAAATTGCGTGTTTGGTTTCTCTCTTAACTCGACTAATTAAAGGTGCTGTCTCTTGTATCACTGAAAGACGACAAAAGTAGAAATTACTATACTCTCAGAAAATTAGAGCAAGTCCTAGTTTCGAAAAAAAGTGTCGACTTGAAAACTAACCTGTGGAGAGGAAGGATGAACTACCACTTGATGGAACAAACTCTGATGGCGTATCCTGTGATATTCGCGTTCCCAAAGGATTCGTTTCTTTTTGAAAAGATGAACGAAGTTTTGATGCGGTTCTTGGAAATTGGACACGTTCATAAGTACCTCAAGGAGATAATTCGTGAAGAGTATAACATCACAAAAGCGTTGAATGATGATCTTGACGACGAACAGGAACCAAAATCGTACAGTTTGAGTGATTTAAGACCAGCATTTGCGGTACTGTTCATCGGTTTGTTTACGAGTTTTCTCACGTTTGTAGCTGAAATTGTACTCGATGTTTTCGGAATCGCCGCAGCTGCAAAGCATTTAAGGCGTATTCGCACTTTCCTCCGCCTCAGAGGATAATGAGGCTCTTGGATATTAGCCTCCCTTTAAAAGAAAAAAAAATTTTCAAGTATACTCCCCAAACGACAAAACGCAAGGTCATTTTTATAAGAGTATGTATATCTACTGAGAGAACATTAGCAGGGATCACCATAGCTGCAAGCAGATATACTCCTCCTTAAGAGCAGGAGTTACGGACAAAAAACCAATTTAACAACCAAAGTCCAGGCAAAAGATGCAAGCACAGGGAGTAGGGTATGATTTTTGAAAAGCTAAAACACACATGACAGGCCGCCCTATAAGATGCCTGCGGCCCGATTATTATTGAAATTGACGGAAAAAACTGCAGACAAAGAAGGCAAAAAGGACATGGAGGGATCCTATTGGTGGAAGTGGGAGGTTGCAATGGACACAGAAGGTAAGTAATATACTAACTGACTAAGTTTGTCATGTCTATGACGCTCGCTGATTGGTGGACCGGTTTAAGGACTTTCATGAGGTATTCTCAGAGCCCAATGTACACAAAGCAATTATGCAGTCATCAAATTTTTTCGTTAGTTCCTCACTCTCTCTGGGCCGGATTTACCTACTTGCCGCCCATGGGCCGCCTGTATTTTGCCGCCCCCATCTCATTCGTTTTGAAACATCAATAAAAACCGCCAAGTGAACGTGCCGGAGGGAGAGGGATGCATAAGACGCGTTTACTCGTGTTGGATACATTTTTTGCGGAAGCCCTGTCAACACTACTAGCAAAAATTCACGGAACTTGGCGCGAAAGTTAAGTTTCGTAAACCTGTCTCTGTGTGGACAGTGCCTTTTATTAATAAGAAATGAACGAAAAAATTATAAAAGAACAATCATAAATGTGGTTCAATAATTTTTACTTCCACCGTCGCGCCGTTCTGATCGCACTTTGTTTGGCGCAATGCGTGAAGTATTCATGCAGTCTTGTAGGCGCTATGCGTTACACGGTGACCGCTGCTGACCGCACTGTGTTTGACGCTATGCGTGAAGTATTCATGCAGTCTTGTAGGCGCTAATATGTGTTACATGCCGACCGTCGCTGCTTTGTATGCTTTGTATTTCATCCACTTTACCCGATCAATCGTGATTTCAAACAATTTTCAGCCGCAAAAAAATCAGTAAATTCGACTGGCAGATTTTGAAGATAGGTCGCATAAAGCACTATAAAGTGACAGAACGAGCTCGAAAGTGAAAAAAGTAAGAGCCAGTGAATAAACTTGAAACTGAAAGATGACCCGTAGGACTCAAATAAGATATTCTGCGGATGCCTTAGCTACCATCGAATGAAGTTCCTTCAAAGAAAAGAGTATGCAAACACAAGATTCAGTTCGATGCCAAAGTTCCCACGCAGACTTGACTTGGCGCACTATTGGTACAGCATACCAAAGACTAAGGTTGTCAAATTTCCATATGTAATGTAAGTTATTTCTTAAGTGCGTTATATTTTACAAAAAACATCTAAATTATTTCTTTTTATGCTGAACACGCTATCGTCAAATAGGGTTCTCATACAGATGTAAAATCTTTCATGACGTGACTTTTTTTGGTTCTTTTTGCTAAGGAGTAAGGATCAGTGTAAGGAAAAACATTCTTGGACTTTTCAGGGGCTGAGTGTGCAAACTGAAGTACAGGTCCAAGAATTTAACTATACTGTGAAGTTCCACTTATGATAATTCCTTCCTTGAAAATTTAAAATTTCAACATTCGCAATTCTTCAGCTTTTTACGGCTCTCTAAGTCTGCATAAGAAGTATCGAACAATGTCAATTTAAAATTTAATTTTATAACATTTCCAGGGCCGGATTCACCTACTTGCCGCCCATGGGCCGCCTGGATTTTTTCGCCCCCTTCTCATTTGTTTTAAAACATCAATAGATTGTACCTATTCGACAGTGGTTCGATGTATCGTTTGGTTCAAAACAATAAAACATAACCTCGAACAAAAATTTTAGGATTTAATTTGGAAAAGCTGAAAATGAGAAAATTCCTAACAATTTCACTTTTCATTGCCATTTGGTACTCGAGAGAATAAAAATTCGATCACATGAGACCCCTTTACCTCAGATTTCTGAATTGACTTTTGAGGCTGTGGTTACATATCAAACCAATCGATATCAATATAATCTCACCTGCGTGATCTGTCGAATACGATCTATGAAAACCATCAAGTGAACGTGCCGTTGGGAGAGGGGTGTATGATATGCGTTTACTCCTGTTGGGCACATTTTTTGTGAAACCCCTGTCAACACCGACAAAAGTTCAGTTCCGTAAACCCATCCCTGTTTGGACAAGGCCTTCCATTTATAAAAAACGAACGAAAAAATTATGAAAGAACAAACATAAATGCGGTTAAAAATTTTAACTTCTACCGCCGCGCTGACCGCTTTGTGTTGGCGCAATGCGTGAAGTATTCATGCAGTCTTGTAGGCGCTATGCGTTTCACGCCGACCGCCTCACCGCTCCGTTCCAGGTCAAATTGCGTGTTTGGTTTCTCTCTTAACTCGACTAACTAAAGGTGTTGTCTCTTGTATCACCAAAAGACGACAAAATTAGAAATTACTATACCTACTTTCCCTCTCAGGAAATGAGAGATTTTGTCGCCTTTTCTCGTTTGTAATTTATTTTCTGAATCCGATTTTTTTCTCTCTTTTTTTGATACCTACATTCAAAAAGATTGCAAAATTTGCCGCCCCCTACATTTTGCCGCCAAGGGCCGCGGCCCATGTGGCCACCCCCTAAATCCGGCCCTGAACATTTCATGAAATTTTGCATCTCTGGGAACTCAGAACCCGGCGTATAGCATTAGTGTGATTCTAAAGTCCTGCACTACTTCAATAATTTTTTTGCCAACTATGCGAGTTAAAACTTTCGGAATGTACATCTTCGTTAAAGCAGTGTTCTACGAAAAAAGAGAACAATTAACCTCTGTGATCTAAGGACATCCCGAAGTTTTAATTTGATACAGATCACTGACACAAAAAACTTGATTGAAACGTTGCGAGACTTTTTGAATCACCCTGTATAATTGCGATCTGACATCTTACACGCCTCAAGTTTAATTGACTTGACATAGGTCGGAAAAGCACAGTCTATTTTACGCGATGCAGCGCTGTCAAATGATTTTCCTTTTTTCCCCCGTAGTTTTAAACTCGGCACTTTTATTTTTTATTAGAGACTGGCTGATCAGGCCAGCATGCGGATTTCTTAAAACGTTTAAAGACGTTTTAAAAGACGTATAGCAACACACTAACTATGAAAAACAATGAAAAAATACATAGAAAGATGCAGGTTGATTAAATTGGAATGCAAATTGATTTAATAAGGTTTGCTACAACAAGTCACAGGTTGACTAAATTGGAATACAAGTTGATGTAATTAGGTTTGCTAAATAATAAAAAAAATGTGGCAGCCAAGATACCACGAACAACCGTTCTTATTAAGCTATTGAAAGGAATCATGCACGTGCACCGCATCCATTGGCCCTACCTGCAAATCTCCTAAATATTACCCATCATGCGATCCTTCAAAAATGTTATCTCTTTACACTAGAATGCCTACCTACATGTGTAGGTAAAACTACTATTAAAATACTACTATGTACTAAATACTACTATGTACTAAATACTATTATTTACTTACTATTAAAATTAAATCAACCCAAAAACACAAAAGTCAACCAAAAAGGAAAATCAAACCTAATAGAAAACACAAAATGTGAAGAACAAGAAAAAACATAGGGAACCAAACCTAAAATGTTAAGGTCTTCCATTTTAGATACTTACAAACCAGATAATTGTTCTAAATTAACTATTATAATAATAAATTATTATGAATCAATAGTAGATTTATGCGGGTGTTAAGTATCTAGTGGAGCATTTAAACTGAATGAGCGATTCAATCAAAGTTGCAATGTGCAAATCTGTCATGAAAACGCGAGGTTATTGACCCAGTCCCTGCCAGAACCGGAGTCGACAGTATATAACACAAATAACACATTGAATGGAGCGTTTCTTCCTTTTTTACGCATAGTCACGCGTGCGTACGGGAGTACGCAAGTGTAGTAAAGTCGACCAATCAAAAACATACGAGATTTCCGGCGCTGAATGCTGATTGGAGGATCACAACCCATTCATGAACTGGAGAAAGTCGAACGTTTCACAACTTCGGCAACGCTGCTTTTAATGGCACACGGAAGTTAGGTTATGTTTGGTTAATTTGATTTGTTTTGAATTTTTTATTCATTGCCGATTAGCCGTTATAAATCATTACCGGAATTTTCCACAGTTTCAGTGACGTTCTTCTGTTTGTTTTGAATGATGTTTAACAAGTGTGTCTTCACCACCTATTATAATCCAATTGATCTCTACAATTTGTGATCCCCAGACAGTTGACAACCAGGCATCGTTCCCTCTTAGCCCCATCTTACATGATTTTAGAAATTTCCCAGAGTCTGTATCTCTGATGCAGGTGTATCATGAACAATATTTCTCACGATGATGTCAATAGCAGCTTCAAGAATCCACTTGTGTTTTTAGATATAGTGATCGGAGACGAAAAAGGTAAGGGCACTTCTGTTTGCACCTGGGGCGTGTAGCAAGAGATGAGCTACAGGGAGACCTTCATAATTTAGATCTAGAAATGGAGTATGCACAAATCAACATGCAGAACTCAGAATCATCTTACCTCCTGAAATTTTACCATTCGCAACGTCGCGAAGTCTGGGAGCGTAATGTTTTTCTTACATCCGTCAAGTATCGTTACAACAAAACCCAGAAAATTTTTAACGGAGAGAAACCAAGTGACGTTCTCAAAGTAGTTAGGGATGATTATTTGAGATAATCTTTAAGCATACTTTTCTCCACCAACCACTGCAAGTTTTAAAAAATTAAATGGTGCTCTAAAAGTTCATTGAAGCTTGTTTCTTATTCAAGCCTTGTGAAGGAGCCAAACTCCAAATCTATTTTCCTTTTTTCTAAGCTCATGTCATTTGTTTCCCTTTCATGAAGCATTCCATATTATATGATTGATTTGAATTGCTGATTTTTTCCATTGTAGTAGAATGTGGGGCTAAGTCATGTTTTTTGTGAACCCAATTTTATACAAATGTCAAGAAGGCTGATTGGTCTGGTAGAATTCGAAGTCAGCAGTAATACAATTACTTCTCTACATCCTCTTCCTTTCACAACATTTTTCAGAATGGGTCATGCATTAACTGACAGGATGGGATTTGTAATTATTTTTCTAGATAATGAAGAGTCGGAATATTCTGTGTTGTAATGAGCATAATAGCATCGTACTTACATAGTATTGTACGCAAAGTATCGTGCACTGAAGGGTTTATTTTCAAAAAAACTATATCGACGGTGTAAGTCGGCAATCACATAACTCGGTTTGCAACGTCGCAGACTTCTTGTCATACTTTATTCTTTAAACGGAAAACTGCTCAACGGAAATTCTTTAAATTTGCGGTGATTTTTCTTCTCTGTGCAAAGAAAATTCTGCCAAAACTTCAAGGAATGATTTCAATTTGTTCTATTTTAAAAAAATAACATAGAGGCGGAGATTTTCAGACACCGCAAATGAGATATGTGATTGCCGACTTACAATGTCGATATGTAGAATTCCTGCATGTATCTCTTTTTTCACAGTCTTGAGATATGTATTCCAAGCTTCTATATGTCAAACTTCAATACAACTTTTCTCTGTTTTTCAGCTGGCAGGGTAATATGTGAATTGTTTAAAGACATCACTCCAAAAACAGCAGAAAATTTCCGTGCTCTCTGCACCGGTGAACAAGGGATTGGAGTCAAAGGAAAACCATTGTGTTTTAAAGACACTATCTTCCACAGAGGTACTTGAATTTCTCCTTTACGTATATTTATTTGGTTCCCGAAACAAGCTATGCATTTCTGCAGTTTCAATGTTGACATTCATTTAGATGAACCTCCTAAAAACCGAATAAGCAATGATGATAAAAGAAAACTTGTATATATGTGGCATTGAAAATGTTGTGTTAAATTTTATTTTGCTGCTGGACAATCATTTTTAAATCTTGAACTTCAGTAGGTTTTTTTTATCCTTCCTGAAGTATCCTCTGAAGAATTCACAGAACATTATTTTTAAGTTCTGTTTTATCATCCATTAAAGGAAATTAAATGCATTGAACTATTATTTTTCATAATTAATTTCAATAGGTATGAACATACTGTAAAAAAATATAGTAATTTAATCCATCACCGAATCTGATCACATTGTATAATTTTCAAACCTTTGTAGCTGTTCCTGAGGCTTTGGTCCAAGGAGGGGATATCACAAACCAAAATGGTACAGGTGGAGAGAGTATTTATGGTCCCTTTTTTGATGATGAGAACTTTGATATCAAGGTAAGAAGAACATTTTTGTAACAAAACTTGTCTGGGAATTTTTTTTTCTTAAAATCTATGACAAATCTTTTGAAGTGATCAATTTCACTATGTTTTCAATGGAGCATCTCTCTTTATATTCTTTTATCAGATTTTTAAGCAACATTACTGTTACCATCAAATATTTTTTGAAACGACTTCCAACCAATCGGAGATGGTTCAGATCAGTTTTCAGTTCTATCATCAAAACTCTAATTGTCGTTTCTTTACAGCACACAAAAGAGGGCTTGCTCAGCATGGCCAACACTGGAAAGCCCAACACAAACAACTCTCAGTTTTTCGTGACAGTAGCACCCTGTCAACACCTTGATGGGAAGAACGTTGTTTTTGGACAAATCTTGAGTGGATATCAGATCTTTCGCTGGATCAGTAGATTAGAAACTCAAGATGATAGGCCAACTGTTGTAAGTTGATCCTTTACACCTACCTCATCAAAATGGATCTTTAATCAGAGATTAAAACGATTTTCATTGAATCAATGAATGTCAGAATTTTATGTAACACCTTTGAAATAAAAGAAACATTCCGTCGCGTTTTAAGGGAGGAGAAGGATTTATCAAGGCGTAAATCAAAAGAAAAAGAGGTTTCATCCAATTTTGAATACTCTCAAAATCATCTCAAGAGTGTATTTTTCAAAGGTAGACCCTTTACAACTTTGATCTAAAAAAAAGATTTTCTGAAAAGTCTAAATCGTCCGGAGGAAGTTCATTTGGAAGTGCTGAGTTAACAAATCTAGCAAACAACACAGTTTTATTTGCTTTTATTTGCTCTACTCATACAAAATCTGCCAGTCATAAAATTCAGGAATTTAGATGTTCCGTTCTGATTTAAAGTTTATTGCTCTCTACAACTTTTGATAGTGGAATTTAGTTGTAATTCTGACTGTAAGCTTTTTTTATATTTAATATATTTTTAATGATCCTTTGAGAAGGATTCTTATTTGTGAAAAATAACTATGTCATCGACAAGAGTCATTCTGATTTATTTTCTTCTTTGCCAGAAATGTAAAATTTCCAACTGCGGAGAAGTGGATCCTCTTGGAAATTGGGGAGTAGAAGAAGATGATGAAACGGATGATGTTTATCCTCCATGGCCGCATGACTGTCATCAGCTTTCTAAGTTAGAGGTAAAATATTATCTGTTTTTCCATTTTTTAAATTCTTTTAATCTACTGAAGTTGGGTAAAGTTAAACAGGTTATGAACAGTTAAGGTATTGAATGCTGGTGCATACTTCAATATTTCAAGAGGTATTACAAACGATTTTTTTGTGAAATTTCTGTTTTATTCATGACTTGATTGGATACTCTTTTACCGGGCTGAAAGGCAAGGAAACTGAAAGAAATAAATTATCACTCATCTTATTTTTCTTAATCGTAACTCAAGAGAGTTTCATGATGCCCAAAAATTTCATACATATTCCTTTTAAAGTGCGCAAAATTAAGGATGTTTGTCGAATAGCATCTGCACCTGTTCTAAGCCCACAGCATTGTAATCTGCACCAATGAAAGTATCCCGATTACGCCCTTCCAGTATTTCTCAGCAATATTTCATTTTGTTTTAGGAAAACTGTCCCATGAATCTGTCTGAAATTTCCACTGGTTTTTCTGCACCTTTGTGGAAATATGTAAAGTTTTTCAGACAAATTTGTGCAATGGTTCTTCTATGAAACAATAAAATCCTCTCAGAAATATGGAAATAGTGCAGCCAAGGTGCATTTTTTCTTGTAGGAGATGGCAAAATATCCCTGAAGCTTTTGAGAAAAAATGAATTTTTTTGCAAGAAACTTAACCCTGTAATTCTGAATGCACATATCCATCACACCTTGCACTGTCTCAAATGATTTTTTTTATTTTCCAGGAAGAAGAACTGAAAACAATTTTCATGAGGATAAAGGACTCTGGGACTTTTTATTTCAAAGCAAATAATTTGGTTGATGCTTACAGAAAGTACAAAAAAGCATACCAGTATCTCCTGTGGTGAGTAAACATATACTGTTAAACCCTCTAGACTTGACTGAAAATTGTCTCAATGTTCACAATTTCCCTCGTTTTTAGAAAAACTCTGCTTGGAAATTTTCTTTATTCCAAAAAATTATATTTTTTTAAAATTTGAATTATCCTTTTTGAGCTTTGAATTAATAGCCTCTGACATACTTAGGCATTAAGGGACTTCGGCCATCGGAATGCTGTGTAATGATAAATCAGGCCTGCAGTACTCCCAATATAAATAATTTTGTCACCAGACGCTTTCCAAGGCTTCTCTCTGTAACTACGCAGAAGTTGCGGGCAAAAAATTTTCACCACCTATCAAACTTTTTAAACCACTTTGCACCTATAATAAATTTGTTGACTTCATATTCTGTCCAGGATGGAAAATAAACTCACCGAAAGTAACGATCTCAAAGTTGTTTCCTTGCTTAATCTGGCAGCTGTGGAAATCAAAATGAAAAAATATAAAGACTGTTTGTCTCACTGTGATCAGGTACGATTCTTCTTTTTTATTTTTTCATTGTTCCCTAAAAATACACAGAAATTACAGGCGGAAGTTGAGCTGATATTGATTGCCTCATGAGAAAAAACCACACACTTGTTTTTTATTATTTTCCTTCCCCAGGTAAAAATCTTCAGATGTAGTCTATTTTTGAAGAGTAGACATATTGACAGTGAAACTCCATAACTATGTGTTTTGTTTGCAGTGTTTTAAAATCTACGCTGTATTTTATGTATGAAAACCGAACATATCAACATCATTACTTGAAGTTTTCATAGAATTGTATTTGTAAAGAAAAGAAATACTATGGCAATTTTTAAGAACTGCAGTTGAGTAGTTTTCAATTTTGAAAAACAAAATACGACGGAAAGTCTGCAAAGTTGCAAACAAAGATACATGTTTTTGGGAGTTTCACCACTGGTATTTTTACGAATAAGCTCACAGTGTTTTCTGATCAATATCATAGTTTTTGATTATAACTTATCTGGTACTCTCTATTTGAGTCGATGAATGTCTTCCAAAAATTTTGAATAGTAGTAGAATATTCGATATTCATCAGAAACTGAAAAAATCAGTGAATTTTATTTCATAGCTCTCCTTTCCCTCTGTTGATTATGGTTTTTCCCCTTGATTAACTTATCCCATCGATCAGTTTCATTTTTTAAGTTGGCATACAGACCTATCTCTGATGTCCTCTGATGAAATCAAATAAAACTTTCAAATGGAAGATAACCTATTTCTCATAATATTCACCTAACTATTAAGTTAGTAAGGAACTATTCAGTTGCTTTTTTGTGAATACTTTTCATAATTTAAAAAAAAAAAAATTGTATTTTTTTTTTTGCTTGAAAAGGTTACAATAAACGTAAATAAGAAACGATGACAATGGCTGAAGTGGGAAAATGCATATTTCCATCGCAATGTTTAAAAGTCTCCGATTGTATCCACTTTTTTAAAATAGAAACTAGGTAACCAAAATATCTCCTTGAAATTGTTTATGAATCTTCTCAATAAGTAATGAAATTTTTTTGAAACCATCAGTTGGTTTTCTTGGAAAAATAATTATTGTGCAGAGATTAGTAAGGTTGCTATCTACGCTACACTTTTCTGTACTTCAAGTATGGACATGTTTTTTGTCATGGAATTTTTTGTCGCAAGGAGCTACATAATTTCTTTCTACATTTACTTACTTTTTGTCCTTTTATCTTGCAGGTGCTGAAGTTAGACGAAAAAAATGCCAAAGCTCTGTTTCGAAGAGGACAGGCCCACGTCGGTCTGAACAATTACCACTTAGGACTGAAAGACCTAAAATCCGCTCAAAGACTGTTCCCCAATGACAAAGGCATCAATTTAGAAATAAGTAACGTGAATGAATTAATTAGCAACTACTTAGCCAGAGAGAAAAGAGTCTACTCTAAAATGTTTCAGTGATAATTCACAATCGGTTTTTTGACTTTCAATGAGCAGGCGTTTCAGTTATAATTGCACCAAGTGAAATGAAATCTAATGTGTGGCCTTTTGATAAGTTGTCCGTTCCTAGTATTCTTTGTTTTCAAGTGATGCTCCATACTCCTGTTTTTTGAGGGTTCTGAATCACCTGAGACTCTGTACCATTTTAGCTGTAGGTCAATTGTATTTACGTTGAGGTCAGACTACTTGGAAACTGCTGAAAGAAACATTTTTAAATGAAAGAAAGAGTAAATCAAGTCGCTCAAAATTCTTTTATGATTTGACGCTGAGAGGGGTGAGCAAACCACTAAGTAAGGTACGAAATTAAGCTCTGTAATTTATATTTTCGTATCAAAATTTCATTCAGAACAGTGTGGACTCGTCGAAAATTGGCAAATCTATCTCATTAGTAAAAAATTACCCTTTCTTTTCTTTGTTAATTCAAATTTTCTGTTTACTTAAAAACTGAAGTCAAATTAAGTCAAACCTATTATTTAGTAAATTTTAGTGCCCTTAACGATAACAAATTCTTCCAGCATACTGTTTTTTTTTTTTTTTTTTTTTTTTTTTGACAATTTTTAAAGCATCACATACTGAAGGATGCAGAAGATTTCTGTGATGCAAAATTCTAGTTGAGTGTTTTAGCCTGTTTCCATTGGCCTAGGTTCAATTTGGTTGTATTACAAGGAGGTAGTTTGAAATTCATGATTTTAGTGTAGAATAAAATAATTTCTCACTTAAAAAAGTCCATTTGGACTTTTCAAACATATTCCACGAGTCCCGTTGGAAATTATGATGTGGAAGCTTATCCTACGCTGCTGTAATTCATATCCTGTATAGCGGTCTTTTGGGTGCGACATTTGCTTTGGCTTAAAGCCCAGGGGAAAAGAAGGGTAAACATGTATGTATTTTTAAAAATCAAAAGGTGCTCCATTGTGTTTGTACCATAGTGTAGGTACTTGTTATTTTACTGCCAATTTATGTCGTAGCCTTATGATGATTAATTTTTCTGTTGACTTATCCTTTGTATATTTATTCCGTAAGTGGTTCTGTATAGTTTTGGAAAAAAAATTATTGAGGTTGGTTGCAATACTATGACGTAATACAGGAAACTTTAACATTGTATTTTGTCATCGTAAATTCTCATACATTAGTACATTCACCGGTCAGCTTTTGCAAAAAAAAACCAAGTGATATGGACTTGGAAGAAAAAAGATAGGTTTGAAGTTGTGAAAAACTAAACTTCAAATCAAACTATTGCAATGAAAATAATGTTTGCGAAAGGGCCCTGCGCAGAAAACAAAGGGATTTGATACTGGCTAAATTTTGTTATTATTCAATATAATTCTTGACAACCTCCTGATCACGATAAGCCTTCAATCATGAACTTTTTAGGCCTTGTCTCCACGGGATGTTTCATGGGATTTGTCCCAGGGAAAAACCTCACTTTCAAAGTCGGGAAAAATATTGAGTTAGTCAATACTAATCACAGTTCCAACATAGTGTCATTTTGGAGTCCCAGGAAGAATTTAAAAAGAGGAAGAAGAAATTTTGTTGTGTTGTTTAACGGGGAAAAAAGCCCAGAAGTTTCATTCCTGCGATTCAAACTTGGGAAAAATCCTGTGAAACGTCCCGTGGAGACAAGGCGTTAAATGCCACCTTAACAAAAACAAGGGTGAAAATAGCATTTCTTGGCATCTTCAGATGCGTTCTGCTGCACTATCTACTGTATAGAGCATTTTATCGTCTTTTTGTTTGTGCAAAAGTGGGGAAAAATCCATTTTTCAGCCCAGTTCTACCTGAAATTGGCACACTGAAAGATAGATTTTCGAATATAATTGTACACAGGATGTTGAAAAGAACATCATATCAAATATTAACATAATTTAACCTGTACCAAACTCCTAGGTTTGATGTGCAGGGTCCCTCAAGTTTGAGGTAGAAAAAGGGTTTTTGAAAAGTTTCTAAATAAGCGCAAAACCACCCTTAACCAAGTCATCTTGAAAACGTCTTTTGTTCTCCCTTTGCAAACTCTACCCAATTTTTATCTCTGGTAAACAAATTGGGGTAGTAGCGGTATGAGTTTTTTCAAGACTATTTTTATGAATCAAAGTACATATTTTTTTCTTTTAAAATTATAACTTTCGCAGACTTATATGTAACTGTCAATGGTGCAAGGTACATTAGTCAACAGACTCAAAATTATCAGTTGAGGTGATTTGATGGACGCCATATTTTGTGTCAGAATGGCATGCGATATATCGCATTGATTAGTTCCATTTTTTCAGCTACTCGTCATTTTTCTCGAATCTTGAGATCACAATTCTGTTGTCAGTAGACAAAAGAATTCACTTACCAATTTTGACAAACAAATTCAATGTAAAAATTGCGTGGTTTTTTTAGAAGAAAAATATCGCTTTCGATACTGATATCGAAACTGCACTCGAATGCAATATTTTTCCTCTGAAAAAACCACGCCTTTATTACATTGAATTTGTTTGTCAAAATTGGTAAGTGAATGCTTTAGTCTACTGACAACAGAATTGCGATCTCAAAATTTGAGAAAAATGACGAGTAGCTGAAAAAATGGAACTAATCGATGCGATATATTGCATGCCATTCTGACACAAAATATGGCGTCCATCGAATCACCGCAAGCAACTTTAGTCAAAATTTGCAAGATGTTGGATTTTAAGATTTGCTTGAAAACTGTCATTAGTGTCACCAAAGATAAGTTATTAACACTTCAGTAATTGCATTGAAATGTGGCCTTTTTGTGTCTAAACATGGCAGATAAGAATTTCAAATAGCCGTTTCTCAACACTTTTTTTTTTAAACTGAGAACTCCAAACTACCACTCCTGTGTTTGTTTTGATATTTTTAGTTCCAAGATGTTTTTGGAACGCTTCTGTATGCGTCGGTATCAATACGTCTATTTTGAGTTTTTGGGGATTAAGGTTTATTTTCACATGGATGGTCATGAATTGCAGTACTTTTCTTAACCGCAGTTCAATTATTGTCAATGTACCCTGCTGACTTTTCCCCTCCAATTTAAGATTTGCCCTAAGGACGATGTAACAAATTTGTTGCACCAGTGTTTTTGTGCATTTTTCTTTGATTTATGGACAATAAGGATGCCAAGAATCTTTTGGTATCCTGAAATTTGTGTTCTCCTTAAAGCTTAACCAATTGCACACTATTAAAACCGACCCTTGCCCAGTTGTAGTTTAATTGGTTGATGTTACATAATGTTATCTGATACTAACCTGAATGTTTTATGATCGCCAGAAATTCTTTAAAAAATTCACCATTTCTGTAAAATTTTATTTAGTGTTTTTTATTGGATTTTATTGTTCCTGTTGTTGCAGGATAAGGAAAATGTTCTGTAAAGATTTCTTGAAAAACATCACCTTCCCCTTAAGGTGAATTATCTATTTTTACTATTATCCGTTCAGTTTTTAAAAAAATGACTGAAGCTAGTACAATTCTTTGTACCTATCTTGTTTTCCAATCATGTAGGTATTCATCCTTCGTATATTTATATGTATCTAGACGAAATTGATTATTGCGGGGTGAGTGAGTGTTCTCACCAGCTAGATGTAGCCATCCTCCCCCCCCCCCCCCTCTCATCACATTCATGTGCAAGAAGTTGTGTTTAATTTTTTTTTCTTTTTTCCAACGTTCATTATGTTTTCACTTCCAATTCTGTAATATTTTGTAAAAGAATTTATAGGTTATTATTCTTGTTTGTAATAAAATCTGTGATACACCTTCAGTTAACTGAATAATTTTTATTGAGCGAGTTTAAAGTTTTCAATTTTGATTTTCTCTGTCTTAAGGTTAAAATGTCCCAACCTGAGAAACACGTGATGTAGTTTAATTGGAAATTTTTGCAAGAACAAATCAGCACTGAGATGTATTCTGTGGTTTTAAACAGACAACTTAATCCTGTTTTCTGTTTACATCAACCACAAAATGCACTTCTCCTGTCATATTCTGTGAAAGAAATTTGCGCAGTGTTAAGCTTTCGCCTCCGAAATTGTAGCAAGGTAAAAATTTAGTTTGATACTGATGAGTTATTGCCGGTTTGAATTTTCCATGCAGAACCCAAAACAGCCGTTTTCATAAGAAGTGATGCAACTCCTCAATTAAAAACTATAAGCAAGATCTTCATCTCAGGAAACATGCATATTTTCCCATTTTCCCCCTTTTCAAGCTTCATTTGATAGGAGTTTTCAGTTTTCTTCTTTCTTAGCAAAAATGGCAGCCATTTTGGGTTCTATATGAAGTTATTGAAAGAATACACCTTATGTGCACTTTGTTTTCATGTATTTGTTGAGGCAGGAATTTTAGAACGCGGAAATTTTCCACACAGATTGGGAAATGAGAAATGAATTCCAGGCTATGCATTCAAAATGAAGATTGTGAGTCACTAAAATATAACGAAGCCAATTATGAAACTATAGAAATACCTTTAATCACAAAATTCTACAGAACTACTATGTACAGTTGGCCTGAGGCGAAAATATTGTTTTACAAGATTTAAATTAAACCTCAAAAGATCACAGTGAGCAGCAACAAAATATTACATAAAATAACACACAGAAAAGAAAATAATTAACTGACAAATCCCAGACAGAAAAGCACAGCAAACATAGTCCATCTTGGTTGAGGTATGAATCAAAATGAAACCACCTGTTCTAAAATTCCTTGACGTATCAGCATTTCACACGCAGATCTTGGCAAAAGATAAAGGTGATTCTTTTGCAAGCAGATGACCTCTCCATTCTCCATTTTAATTTCTCCGTGGTCCGCCAGGCATCTAACCTGGAAAAGACAAAAAAGATTGACTCGATTAACATATCCACTGGGTCCAGGAAGCTGTAAAACATCAAAAATCACCAAAATATGTGGACCAAGTTTAGGAGAATTCCACCAAGTTGCATCAAGTTTGATTAGAGAGAAGGAGATTTCAAAGTTAATACCCCATGAGACTCAATTTTGAGGACACATGAATGACCATTTTCACGTTCAAAACATTCTTTATCGATGTTGAATTTTCCACAGGAGAAAATTTACGATTCTATAGTTGGATTCAAAACTTTTCCTAACTCTTTTTTTCCAAAATGCAACTTAGTACGCTTCTGTTCAACCCTGTTCATAGGATATCATACACCTTAATTCCATCAAAATTTATCAGCAAAAATGATGAAGTTTTAAAGCTTTATTTGTGGAGAAATCATGATTTATATGAGCTAATGCATTTTGACTACATGTACTACCTGTCAAAAATACTAACTCATGGGGAAACCGTAGACAAAAGTCTCTACAATTATCGTGGCTTGAAATTTCCATCCTTATTAAACAACATTGAAGGAAAACAGATCACTTTAACCCTCGACGGCATGAACTGAATGGATCTAAGATTCTGATGAACACTAACCTACTTATTTTGTAGCTTGCATACAAAACATGGGGTACGTAAATTTTTTTTTCAAAATTTTGGAAATCAGTATTTCAAAAAAAAGAAAAAACTAATAAAAATTTGCAAGATCATGCCACAGAGGAAAGATTCAAATTTTAAAAACCCAAAAAATACGTTGTTACGAATTCATAATACTGTGCCCTAGAGGGTTCTTTAATTTGTACTAAATACTCTTGAACAGACACCCAGAAATTAGCTTGTAAGATGATTTTTCAAAGTTAATGTGATCAATTTATCATGTTAATTGAAACATCTTTCGAATTCGATAGGTAGAACTTTCTGCAGAAAAAAGTTATGCACAAGCTGTGACGACCGTCTTCACTACCTTAATGTTTCAGCTTCATTACTTGGATGGACCTTGGGAGGAAAAAAATAAACCAATATAAGTGCTCATTCGCCTATAATGCCCTCAATGTTACAAGTTGTAATCTCAGTGAAAAGATGAGACATCGAAAAGGAATGGTGTGTTTCTTACCTCAAGGTATAGTGACTTTGGCGGGTCCATGTTTTGCAGCAGATTTAAACCACATCCTTGACCAATGGATTTCATGTAATTAGCTAAGATTTTGCTGTAATTGTTGAACCAATTCACCTGTAATGACGAGAAGTAAGATCATAGGAAAATTTATCACAATGTCAGTAAAAAGAGTGAATTACTGAAATTCATTTACACTGAAATTCGAACTACATATCATGCATTTACAAAATCAATAATAGTCAATATGATTATGATGACATTCATTTTAATGCAAGTTTTATAATTCAGTGTGAATACTTTTTGAATGGTTGAAAATTTCAACCGCCTGATAGACCAAAAAGAATCTCTTCTTACTGCTAGTTAGAGATATCCTCTGGGGGCTTCAGTCAATAGAAATGGACTTAGATATGGATTCATGGTAGAAAAATTGTCATAGCATTAGAAAAGCTACTCACTTCTGCTTCACTAAGATTAGATTTAACATCTGGAGGTAGGATGCGGCCAAATTCCCATCGCATTTGACGTATTTTCAGTAATCGGTTCCAGCTAGAAAATTAAACTTAAATTAGCGCTTGAGATATGTGAGATTAGTTGTCAACATGATTTGCAAATTCTCTTAAGACTTTTACCTGAATAAGGGTTCTCTTTCCTTTAAACCACTGAACATTTCAGAGATCAATTAGATAACTGTTCAGATAGAAAAGAGGAGGTGTTAATTCTGTGATGTGATATTTGAGAAGATCTGAATTTTGAATATAAATAATATTTCAATTCTAAGATCGATTGAAAATGGAGAAACCAGCCTATCAGCATTGAACTTGAAAAGTGGAGCAATTTTTATTCTGTTTCCTGGGATGACATCGATGAGGAGAGACTGAAACTGGCATTAGTATCAACTGGCACAGCCAACAAAAAATCAAGTGAACACAAATTTTAAGCTAAAAAATATTTTCATCCTAGTTTCAGACTTTTTCATTCTTTCACTGGAATATGCCATTTTACTGCATTAGGTACTGTCAATCGGCAGCAAATCACATTCCATTGCGGACTGACTGTTGCAGTTTCTAACATCATAAGTGTATACTTACAAATAAGCCATCAGACAACGTTTGTTCCTTTCTAAAGCTGCATGCCTAAATTTCAGAACGGGCATGAATTCTCCCAGATTATCAGAGACAGAGGAGTTTCTAAAAATAAAAAGAATCCAGATTAGTTTAACTAAGGACAGAAGAATTTTATTCCTCAGTGAAGTCTACATGATAGGAAAAAATGAAATCGTAGTACTGGGCTGGAAAAGTCATTCAATTTTTTATTTTGAAATTAAAAAAAAAAAAAAAAAAATTGAATTTGTTTTTGGATTCTTGCACCCAGGCGAATCACGAGCGAAGTGTGTCATTGAAAATCAAATTTTATGAACTTACCAAGAAAGAAAAAAAATAATTAGTAACACTTGAAGCCTCCTGATGGGAAAGTGAGGTATTTTTGTTCATTGATTGAAGAAGTATGTCAAGGAAGAGGAGTTTTGGAATGAATTATGTGCACTGAATTCAATTTTTTACATTTTGACAGAGGGAGGTACTTAGGCAAAAATTCAAGTACCTCCTGAAACATTAGAACTTCTTTATGACATTTTAATCAAACAGGAAAAAGGTAATACTTACAAGACTTCAACATTTTTCTCGAAAAGAATGTTCATTTCATCCAAGACAGCTCTCACCATTTTTTCCTGCAATAATGAATGAAAGATGCATTTAGCAAAAGTTTATTCTTAAATGTGGTTTGTTCCCTGTTGAATTTAATGATTTCACAACACGAAAAGTGTGTGAATAGTCCCTGAGATTGTGTTGAGAAAACTCAAAATAATCATTCAATGGCATTAGTTAGTAGGTAGGTATCATAAAGCAGTGTGTCGATGCTATGAATGCTATACTATGCTGATGACGGATAATGCCATACCTGATTTCAAGGCATGTTGAGTGGGCTTCGCCTCTTCCCAACATCAGTTTTCCACAGCTTTAACCGTACAGTTTGTTTCTAACCAGGGCCTATACAAATGCACACTTCATAGATCCGAATCCAATCAGAATTAAAAACAAGTCAAGAGTTCGAATGAACTTTTTTCCATGCATGTTGAATTTGCACTCTGTATATCTCATTGATTAATGCGCATTGAAAGTGTTTGTATAAATGTGGCTATTCGTATCTGATGTTTATCATTTATCTGCTCTTTTCTTTGTTAGGTTCCACACTTGACGTATGAGAACGTAGTTACGGTTGTAAGGAACAGATGCGCAAAATGCCTCATCAGCAAGGCTCCATTGGCTGATACAGCTTTAAAATGATAAACCAGGGTCTATGATGACGCTGAAGAGATGATTTGATTAATTTTATGACTTACATGATAAGGCGGTAGAGTGTCAGGGCACCTATCCAATTCTTTCAATAGATCAACAGCTTTTTCGGTAAACATCTTTCAGATGAATCACGGTATTAGCACAAATTTATAGTGGTAATTTGCTAGAGAAAAAGGTTGTTATACAAACAAAGTGATTCGGAAGCTCAAGTTTTGTGCAGTTAGAAACTTCGAAAAGATACAGCGAAAAAGTTGAAGCTCGAACATAGCTCGATGAGATAAGAAAACCAATTTGCAAAACAATAAACCTAACCTCAATTCAAAATTTTGGCGCTATTTACACACAAAAACACAATGCTGCCAAGTCTACGTTTGTGGATCTGTGATTTTCCGAAAAAAAAATTTGAGTTATAATTTTTTTGAAAATTTATTCTATTCAATTACCCATTTTTCTCTAATCTAACAATAATAATAAAGTAATTTTGGATACATTAACTAATGGTAACATAAAAACCAAAAAAACGAAACTTGCCAACCAAGCACAAGCATTGCAGCGCTCTCTGGGGTGAATAGGTCGTAACATGGTGAAATTGATAAGGCATGAAACGTACGTAAATAAACTTCCAGATACGAAACACGATTTTTGAAAATCTGTGGTCTAGTTCTCTAATTTTTGTGTTTTCTTCCAGTTTTAACTTGTCCACTTGTGCAAGATGAGAGTTTTATTTTCTCTGAAACCTTAGGGAAGTCATCCCTAGGATATTCTTTACACTATCTCACATTCCTCAGATTTTGGTAAGAACCCTCATTTTTTTTAAAATTCCTGCTAGGTAGTCAATAAAGCACCTGCAGTCATTTTCCAGCACCTGTTTTTGATCACAAGAAAGTTCCTTCTTAGCTCGGATTCTGAATGAGTCCTCTTGTCCACAAGCCATGCAATTTCTTGCAGCATTTCTGTCGTTCTGACGGAACTGCGTTCAGAGTTCAAGATTCAGTGCTGAAACCCTCGCGCGTCTCTTGAAAGAGTCGCTCTACTTCAGCTGTTTCAGTAGCTGATCTTAGCAAGGCAATTGAGAGCAAGATATCCTTCCAACTGAGCCATTGCATCTTGCATACACAGCCTTCATTGTTGCGGATGTAGTGCTGCTATTTATTTGGTTGCCTCCGAAGCAATAGCCAACTGGAAGGCTTCGACATCTCTCCAGCTGTAGGTCATTCTTGCCCCTATTTCTCTCTCATTAAATCAGAAGAGAGACAAGGATGATGCCTATTTTACTTATACATATTATATCAGCCAGTGAACTTTGTACCAGCACCACCAGAATTCAACAGGTTAACCATATGTATCCGGTTGGTCAGGTGTACAGTTCAGGAACATCCTTACAAATTAGTCTAAATAAGTATTTGTTCAGAGCATACGCATTATATAAACCAAGAGAAGTCAAATCCCATCCATGGCAACACTTGTTAAAGATTCCAACCGAATGAAAGTTTTAACCTGTTGAATGGTGCCGATGCAGGATCCAGTATCGGGGTTTACCGAGACTGTATCTTCTCAAATTAGAAGCTGGCAAAAATACCTGAATGCTGATGTCAGGGGTTATGACAATATCACACATCAATTGTAATTGTATCCAATTTCTCTGCGTTCACCTTGTCACCCGCTTTTGTTGAGCGAAATGTGTGACTGTCTGAATTGGACGCAATGAGTATGCTCCTCGCCATGAGTTGTTAGGTCACCAGCTCCAGCTACCCATCTAACAATTTTGCAAAAATTCAAAATAGGTTGCAGTTTTTCAACCTAGGAACTTTATTTTTTTCTATCAGGTACACATTTTTTAATTTTCTTGATATTTCACCCAATATTTCCTTATCCTGCATTGATCATTCTGTGAAAATTTGTAGGGTTTAATTGTCCTTTTTTTCCCCTTGAAAAATTAAATAGATGCATAAATTTTGGAAATTATGGTCAAGTTACAAGTTTTTGAATCTCTATTAGCTATGAGTGAAGGAAGAAGAACTAGTTAAATGTGCTATCTCCGAGAAAGAAAATCAAAAATCAAGTAAAATATTAGCTCAGACAGTCATACTAAATCATTATAAAAAACTGAAAATTGAGGTCCATGACTGTAAAATTTCAGGATGTTCATTTACGTCTTGTTTGGCTGCTTCTCTTTTAAATTCTACCAAGTCTCCTCTGTAATTATGTCTGTTTTATTACTATTTTCATTGCCCACAGATAAAGAGAGCAAGCCATAACTGCGTCCTCGAAGCACTAAGTACTTGGAATGGGAGAGAGGGATTGGAGACTCTTCGTTTATGGAGGCGTAGCATCTTGTATAGCAGAAATTGGTATGTTTGTCTCTTATTTTCATAATGCTTTCATAGTATCTGAATGAGAACTTGTTGCTGGGAAAGAGGATTAATCAGAAGAAATTGAGACTCGTCAAGGAATGAAAAATTTCAGAGAAAATCGGGGAATTTATTCCGAAAATCGAAAATCTCGTCCTCTACAGCTTGAAGGCTATTTTGTTCACATGTTGCGGAAATTTTAAGTAGCTATTGTTATTGAGGTCTATTCATTTCATTGTACCTGAGTTGCCATCATTGACCTGTTGAATGACATATTTGAATTTTCAAATCGTCATAATAACAGAGGCTTTTGTTGACCAGATAATGTAAATATCAAGATCGCTTTTGGAATTAAAATTTGAATGTATGCAAAAGAACTGGCTAAAAAATGTAACAAATTTGATTAAATTCAGCGAATATTGTATTAAACAATGTCTACGAAATTCATAACTGAAACCATGGAGATTCATCTAGTTTTTCCCAAGAAAATCCCAGGGAAGTGGAGGAAAATTTTCGTTTCTCAGCAGGGAATGAGCTCCTGAAACTCAGGGAAAAATCAGAAAATGAGCATACTTAGATACAAATTCTAAACATTGTAGAACTATAAAGGTGAATCCAGACCTTAAATCTGTGACTATCCTCTGCCTTCATGCGTTAAGCACAGCAGAAACTTTTAGAGGATTTTTTTTTCATGTGAAATGGATAAATTAGAATTTGAGTTTTTATCAGAAAGTAGGTTCCTGTATCCTAAATAACAATTGTCATCGGTGAAATATTTTCATGTTTAAAATTTCATCAAGTATTAACCATCAATTTTGATCAGAAAATGGTATACCTTAAAGTTCTATGGTTTTTTTTTACTAAGTTTTTGAAGTATAAACTTCATAATTTAATCTTGAACCTCCTCTACTAGTAGATATTGGAGAGCTCTTAATTTTGAACTACCGATTTTTAACAACTGTCTCTTCTGGCTTTTTTCAGGTACTTTCCCCATTGATTTAGCGAAAACCCGATTGCAAATCCAAGGGCAGAAACATGACATCAAGCATGCAGAAGTGAAGTATCGTGGTATGACTGATGCGTTCCTTCAGATCTCCAAGCAAGAGGGACTTTTAGCTTTATATTCTGGGTATTAATTGTTTAATAAATATTTATTCTTAGATCAAGTCGAGAGTTTTATGTTTTGATTGCTAGCTCTTGAACAAACGGAGTTTGTGAGCGGACCATTTGATTGAAAAAGAATTCACAAGATTTGTTTTCTCATCAAAAGTCTATGACTTTAAGGTATTTGCATTTATTTTTTAAATAATAATCAGCAAATTCACACCTTCTTGTAACTCTTGTAACTTCTTGTAAAAAACTCGAATTCACATGAGGCAAATATGTCACAGGAAATAAATTTATTGCAGGGCAAATGAAAAGGGTCAGATTTCGGAAAGAATCCTCCTTCTTGTAGTTGCCGAAAATGATTAAATGTACAGAGAAAATGTCTTATTAATAGACACATCGAAATTCATTCATTGCCAAATTTGACCATGGTAGATTTTGGTTTTTTATCGAGTAAAAAGTTTAAAACAAACGCAAAAACTGCTGGAGATTTTAAGCATACGGGCTAAAATTGGAAACTATTTATGTATTTTCCTGTTTTTTGTGAAATTTCTATAATTTTACGCAAATTTTTGCTTTCTTGTTTGTTTGAAGTATCGGGCCTGCTCTCCTGAGGCAAGCAACCTACGGCACAATTAAATTTGGCACCTACTATTCTCTGAAAAATCTATTCTCCCAAACTCACCGTGATGACGATGTGTTGGTCAACTTGTTTTGTGCGATTACAGCAGGAATATTTTCCAGCGCTATTGCAAATCCCACTGATGTGCTCAAAGTTAGAATGCAAGCGCTGGGCCCTACAGCACACCCGAGTATCGTACATTGCTTCAACGATGTCTACACTCACGAAGGCTTCAAAGGACTTTGGAGGGTTAGTATTCTCCATCAAACAAAAAGTCCATCACTTCCACTCTCTTCATTCTTTCCTATCTTGAGAAGAATTTGTAGGGTGCAGTAGGTATGACAGTAGGTGCAGTAAGTGACTGCATGATCAGTAGATTGCATATAAAAATGGTGAAGCTGTGAGAAAGAGTTTATAAATGGGAAGGCTGGTTTATATAAGTATAAGTACGACCTAATTTCTGCAAAAATGAAAAGAAAAGTGCAAGAAAAAATAACCTTTACTTTGAGTAATTCAGGAAAATATGGTTTTTTCTGTATGGGAAAACGACTGTACAAATGGGGATGCTAAAAACTTCCCTAACCCCTGAAATTTTTTTGAAGAGATTATACTCACAAAGTCCCATTACATGCAACTATACATTCTCTATCTTTTCCTTTTACAGGGTGCTTTGCCCACATCTCAGCGCGCTGCAGTTATTGCAGCTGTGGAACTTCCTGTTTACGATTTCTGTAAATATCACCTAATGACAGCCTTTGGTGACAAAATGATTAATCATTTCATGTAAGTTACCATTCTCCTTGTTCACTTTCTACAAGCTACATACCAGCCACCAATTTCTTTAGTAGGTTCTTGTTTTGAGAAAGAAAATCCCGGACAGAGATAAACCAATGACTCTAAACTAATTAACGAGTAAAAAAATGTTACCATCCTCGTTGTATTTTACAGAGTAGAGTTCATGCCAAATAAGTTTATGCACTTTTAGACTATGACTTCAGAAGATCATCTGAGGTCAATTTAGCATTGAAAGTAAATGCAAGAATCAAGATGGCAGATCCTCTGTTGCAGTTTAAAAGTGTGTAAACTTATTTGGCGTGAACCCTAGTTATTTTTAACAAAGTGAACACACGCTGCTTAGTTCAGCTCACTTTTTGTAAATATGTAGTCTTGTAAATTGCCTATTTTATCGCTTACTTTGCATTTTCTATCAGCATAAGCGATTTTTAGAATATAACAAAATTTTGATGCTAACCTTTTTTTTCTTTTCATGCCGATTTTACATAAATACCATTAGAAGAACAAAAAGCTTCCCTAATGTGTTCAGTGTAACAAGTTTTTTTCAAGTCCTTTGTCAACAGTCATGGCTGTAAGGGTGTTATCGTCTAGTTTGTGTGATTTCAGATCTAGTTTCATCGCCAGCTTGGGGAGTGCAATCGCTTCAACACCTATTGATGTTGTTCGGACCCGGTTAATGAATCAGAAAAAACTGAAGAAATTGGCAACTGTTACCGCTCAGCCTCAGCCGTTCCTTTATGAGGGAAGCCTCGATTGTTTCGCTAAGGTGAGGCTAAAATTTACAATTTTCTTTCATGGAACCCTTTCTACAGTGACTCAATTATCAGAGATAGTCAAAATTAGAATGGAGCATTTGCACACGAGAATCTTTAAATTCTCTGATTTTAAATAATTTACCATCGAATGATTTTCATTTGTCTAATGTGACATTCATTATTCATGGAAAAATGGACCTTATCTGGAAAAGTGAACTAGGAGGACTTTTTAGGAAATATTTTCTGTCAAATTAGGTAGATAAATTATAATTTGAGTTTTTTACACAAGTTACTCTCTGGTATTCCAAAAAAAATTTTGCAAACAGCTTAGTTCATTCTTGCTCCGAATAGAGAGTGTTTTGAATTTTGATTTAATAATTTCAAACTCCAAACATGACAGATTCAAACTTCAAATTCTTTTTTCTCCAAGTTAGTTTCCTCAAACTGGCAACTTTTGATTCCAGTTTTGCTCATAATTTTTAGAGGTTTTTTGTACCTGAATTTTTAGGAAACTCTCATCTATGTAGAAGCACCAGTAATTCAATTTTGTAACTGAGCAGTGACAGGGAATATTTACAGGGTTGTATGTAGTATAAACTGTAACTCTGTAATGTAACCTTTATGAAAAAAGGAGAATTTAAATAAGTCTTTCTAAGGAGAGAGAAAGCAAACCGATCAAATGGGTTCCATTTTTGGCAGTTTTGACACTGAGTCCCTTTGCCCCTTAGGTTTAAAAAATCTTGAAAAATTCCTTATATAGATTAGGCCACTCTCTATTTTTAGGAAATCAATTAAATTAATTGGTGCCTCTGACTCACTTTTGGACAGGCTCATTCAAGTTAAAAAATGGAAAACATGCATCATGTATTCATTAATGACCCCTAAGAATTTTATTCTTGTGTTCTAGACGGTGAAAAATGAAGGATTTGCAGCCTTGTACAAGGGTTTCATTCCAACGTGGGTTCGAATGGGACCTTGGAACATCATTTTTTTCATCACCTACGAGCAGTTGAAAAACTTCTACTGAGCTGTGAAATTTTGGTACAAATCTGTGACAGAATCTCCTCTCTTTGTGAGAACAAATCATCGAAGTGCGGACGCTTAAGAATGAATCGTTACTTTCTTTCCTGTCCAGCTTCTCTACGTTATTTGCTCATATCAGTTACTTTAGTTTCTACTGCCTTATATGAATATTTTTTTAAGTGAGAGCTATATTTGATATCTAATGTAAGTTTGATCTAATCATGCAAAACTTTTACACTCCTCGTTCGTAATTCAATTACCTTGACAAGCATTTTGTTTCCTTGGTTTACGCTTATGTTCCATTTTGTTTATGCATTTACCGGTGTGTCATCTCATGTTTCCTAAATCATCTTCCTATTTTATTTTTGTAAATCAAAGATTGAGTACAGTTTAAATTGCAGTGTGATACGTAGAAGACACAATTACTCAGAGAGTGGTTGAAAGGCTAGCGGAACATTTTGATCCGTGAAATTCCTCAAAACTGAACAAAGTACCGAACAGGGAAAAAATTAAACACCACAACCAATGTTATTTCATCAAAATTTTAAGCACAGCATTGTAGGCATTCTGAAAGATTTTTAATGTAATTCAATGTTAATTATTCAAAGTTACTGTGCTTAACAATGAAATATTTTTTTCAGTATGCCCAAATTCTCTTGACAAATTTAAAAATATGGCTTTTCTTAGGAGGAAAGAAATTTTTATCTAATCAAATTCTTGTTTTATGCAGATTATCTGAATTTATTATCAATGCATCTTTTTATTTACGCTAATTTTTTTCACTCTCTTGCTTTTTTAAATGAAAATAATTCTGACATAAACTACTCAAAAACTGACCTCTAATAATTTAAATTACTTATCATAAACCCTAATCTCTCACTTTTATGTCACTTTTCAATATTTCAATGTTTGCTGCGTGAAATTTTTATGTGGAAATATGTTTCTTGGTGCTTTTCTCTGGCCAGTATTTCATTCAAATCTTGCAGGAAGATGTAAATTCATCGCTTCACTCTTAAAGACAAAACTTCCGTCCTGTCCAAAAATGTCTTTGATTTTTATAAGTACATAGCACAGAGCAAATTGACTGAAATTGGGAATATTCGTCCCCCAATTAACAGCTAATTAATTGATCAGTCTCATGTTTTTTGTCGACAGAGCAATGTACATGTGCTTTCCTGCAAGTAATAGTTGGAGTCATTGCGGCATTGCAATCTGACCGTGAAAATTTTTTTCTTTTTTTCCTAGATTTTTCATCCTAAAAAAGAAATCAAGTACTTAACTGTACTCTAGTAGAATTTAATAATCTTTATCCTTTCAACATAGCAAATACATATAACTTTGTTCACTGTCAGGGATCTTTTAGTATGCTTGAGGGAAAGAACGAGCCAATCAATTTCGCAAGAACCACTTACAATTTTCTATCAAATCAAAGCATCTTCTTGTCAAAATTTGACCATGCTACAATTGTATTGAGTTAAAAATGTGACGAAGTCTTCTTTATTTTCTTTTTATCACATAAAGCTATCAATAAGAGGACCCATAACGTGGCTTTTTCCGGGGACAGAGTAGCATAAAAGTTCAATTTTCTTTGTGTGTGAGGGGGGAGGGAGGGAAAGATTTTTGGACTTCATTTCACAATGAGATGGATTGAAAGCGGGAGGGAGAGTTACTGAGCAATAGAAATCAAATTAAGGGGTCTGATTCAGCGTAACTCGAGTCTTGCAAGGGAGTGAAAAACAATCAGTGAGAGAACGTTTCTTCTTGAACGCTTTCTCCATAATTTTACATGTTGAAGATGTCTACTTTCTATAAAGGGACAGAAAATCAAGTTGTTAAAGGTCATGATTGATTCAATTCTCTTCTCGTTAGGCTGCTTTTTCCTTGATACTCTTAGCCTCAATTTAGAAATTTATCTTCTCGTACATCTTATTGTTGATTCCTGAGGAAAGTCATTTCTTGCGAGCTAAACCATGATGGTACGAGTCAGGAGCTAAAATATTTTTTATCCGAAAGTCATGTGCACTCAAAGCTTTAATGCCACTGTCTTTTTTCTTCTTTCACTCTTCTAATTACAGTGTGTTAAGCATCTTCATTGTGAACTAGATTAAGAATGAAACTCTAATTTATTTTATTGTTTTAGTGTATTTTCCAAAGAAATTACGCTATTGTTTTGTTGAAATTGTATTTTTAAAATCAATAAAAATGCTTATTGCTCCATGATTGTCATCAAGTTATTTGAGGCTCTTTTTTTATTCTGTGCTGCATTTTCTTTTAGATTGGCTAATAATTTAAAATTTACTCAATTCACATTTCACTTTTGACTGTCTGTAAGAAGAAAGGATATTAGTGCTTGGAGACGATTTTTCAGGAGAGCATTTTTTATTCAGCTGATCAGCAGACTAAGATTTGAAATTTCCAAAGGAATGTTCTTTGTAACATAAAAAATAAGTTGTGTACAGCTGAATATATTTTTACGCAGATAGAAGGTGTAAAATTGCAATTAAATCTAGTAATTTTAAGCCCTTGACCAGAAAGGTTAAAACTTTGAATGGCTTTTCTCAAGATGCTTTTTGAATCACAAATTTCAAAAAATTTAATGACTGGTGTAGCTCAACATATATGGGTATATTTGGGTTGAACTATTCGCTCTGTCTTCAAACATTCAGGCATGAAGTGGTTCTAACATCTCATCTCATCTTTCCCATTTTCGAGTGTTGCAGTCTCCTTTCTGGCGTGTTATCATTTTTTCCTCAGAAAAAAAAAGGGAAAAAATTATCGCAACTCGAATAAAAAACTTAAATACGAATCCTAAGGCTGAACAAAAATTAATTATTTCTATTTCGATGGCTGAAGTCGACAAATCGTCGGCATAAGCGCGCAATCACATATCATGCTTGCGGGGTCTGAAAATCTCCGCCTCTATGTTATTGGAGTTTTAAAGGAGAATAAATTGACATCATTCCTTGAAGTTTATGCAGAAATTTCTTCGTACAGAGAAGAAAAATCAGGGCAGTTTTAAAGAATTGCTGTCGAATAGTTTTCTGTTTAAGAAATAAAGTATGACAGGACGTCGTAAACCGAGTTATGTGGCGTGTGGTGGTAATGAAATTGTTAGTCGGTTCTTTTTGAAAAAGTATAAAATCCGCGGATTTTTGCAACGTCTTAATCGGAGGTACCGTATTTCCAACCTCCCGTACAGATTTGAATTTGCCGCCGTTTTTCTTGTGCGTCATTCAGCACTCTCTGTGAGATTTTGCATGAAACACAAAAGCTTGTAGTTTCCTGTTTCTCCGCATCCTTCCCCCCTCACCCTCGCCCGCCCCGCCGTGCATCATTTCGTAGTATTTTGTTTGGTACTCGGTCGGTAACGCCATTTTGACACTATATCCATTATTTTGTTTAAGTTTTAGTGTGTATGATTTTCTAAAATTAGCGTCTCGGTTTAAAATATTTTCAGTTTTTTATTTTCGTAGCACTCCTCTGTCATTTAAGGTAAGAACCCTTCAACCACGAGACGTTAACGAGATTCTTTTGTCTTCATATCCTAACCCCTTTTCGTTTGTCTACCAACTCGCTTTTAAAACTTTATCACATCACTATTTTCCTTCCTTTCCTCTTTTTGCAATCAACACCAACACCGACAAGATACTAAGCTTCTCTGCATGTATCATCGAATCTTGTCATTTTAGAGTTACCTTTGTCAACCACTGTCAAAAGCTTCAACCTTATCTAGAAGCCTAGCATTTTCCTCACATCTAGATTTTGATCGTGCGATAACAGGGAATCATGAATTACATCACATCAATTTTCAGACTCACCTGGTCTCATTCATTTCAATTTATATCCACAACCCCCAACCATTCCATTGAACGTAACACTTACAGTTTGATGTCTATCAGGGTGTCATGCTCTGGACCTGTGACCAAAGGTTTACTTATGATTCTCAGAATCATGTGGGATCCATGGTCCCTTTATTTACTACCGATGAGAGTGAGGTCAAGACATGATCATTTCTGCTTCATGTAGTCCCTCTTAATCCTTGAATTGCCACTTGGCACAGAGAGAGGCCAATGTTGCAATCAAGGCTACAGGGCTCCCTGATAGGAGTTCATACCGTCCCCTTGGTTATTTTTTGCGTCAGGATAGACAGTTAGGTAATGTAAACACAGACATTCAAACGAGGCTGTAACAAATATACATTAGTACATACCTTGTATCTGTGTGAGGGAGTCAACCTATTTTTCCAGATGGAACATTCCATTCTTATCTCTTTGGGTGTTCCACGCTGCTCAGCAGGCATTAAAGGCAAGTTTCCAAGAAACTGCCGCAAGATAGCCAAAAGCTATGGGAAGGAAACTTCAGATGTCTGTAAACTTGACTGAAACTTAGTGCATTGGTCTCAAGGCAAAACTGCTGTTTGTCTTGTGGCAAGGCTGAGCACGTAGGTACTGTATGGTGACATCACTTCTGTTCATGCTATAGATCATGTGAACTAATTATCGCATCCTGCAGTTTGCATCTACTTTCTCAGTTTGTAAGGGAAGGTTTGATCTTCCTGTTTTTAGTTAAAGTAGGTATTTTTCCACGTATTACAAAGGAAAGATGTGACCTCACCAAGAATAATCAGTACCTAAGTTCTCAGTGTAATAAGTGCACCATGTAGGAGGTATTAAACATCGTTTGGTTGGGGTAAATCCTTGTAGATTATTAATCCCTCCCAGTTATTTTGGTATTTTGTTCATATAAGTCAACTTTGTAATGATGTAAATATTAACACAATGAAGAATCTTTATTGTTCCTTAAAAAATATGGTAGTTATAAAAAAAGACTTTGATATCAGCAGGTGTGTTCGAGCCAGTATTATTTACATCATTGGGACCATTTTTCAGCGTATAATTGCCCATTTGTCACTGTAAATTTTTTTCTTCTTTGCAGAATGTGGACGCAGCAGCAGCAGCAACAACTGCAACAACAGCAGCGGCCGACCGAGCAACAGAAGAAAGATGAAGCTGCGCGAACATTAGGAATGACATCAGCAATCAGCTCAGCTCTTCCAAAGCCGATAGATATCCAGAGAACGCAGGAACTGATGGAGGCCCTCAAACCTTTTAATGTTACAGAATCTGACGCTGAACTTAGTCATAGGTAAGTATCACTTCTCTTCTTTTAGTAGAGGGAGTGGGAGATCATATTGTACGGTTTCAGTACCAGAATTTGAAATCTGTTTTGCTCTTGCTGTACATACAGTACTTCCAGTCATCAACAAAGGTGCAAGCACATTTGCTGAGATGTCTAAAGCAGTGGAGTCCAAGGTCGATTGACCCAGGTCAGTCCGTTAGAAAAGTTGAGTGTGATAAACTCTGGAATTCGTGGGTGAGGGCTGTCTGCAGGTTGCGAACAGATTCCTGCAATTTGCTTGTCCCACTCTGCTGTTCCCCGACCGAATTACATTAGTCCTATGCAGATCAAGGAGGAACTATGCAACCAGGCAGCACAAATGCAAATCGGGGAACCGTTGGAGTGGCATAGCAGATCCGGGGCATTCGTCGCCAGATCGGGAAATTCCAAAGAACATCTTGCTAACGGACTGACCTGGGTCTTTCGACCATGGTGGAGTCTCTTTCAAATTTAAGTTTCTGGTTCTGTCTATTCAAATGTATGTAACATGCAGAGCAATCAATATTTGTTGAGGCAGGATGTTTCCTCTGTATCAGTGTTGCATTTGTGCTGAGATTAGATCAAGATGACATAGTGTCCTAAGACCTATCATAAATTTTTTTTTTTTTGGATCAGAATCGCTCACTGAAGCTGCTGGCTATATCCTGTTGTGTTCATAGTTAAAGATTGATCACTTGTTAAAACAGATAGTTGATGAAAACAGGAGGGAAGCAGAACCATGGGCAATTTCCAAGTTGGCAACATTGTTTTTTCTCTATTTAAATCCATTACAAATACCTACTTCAGGTGAGGCAAGCTGCCTAACCAAGAATTGATCGTTTTACATACATACTAAAGAAAGAAAATCAGTGTTTCTTACTCTCTAGAATCGCCACTGAGCAAAACTTGGGTTTTGTGATATTTTACGGCTAAGAAAGATGACATTAGACATAGCAAATAAGTGCTTATTGGACAACGCAGAAGAGGGAGAGAAAAGAAAAAAAAGGCCTCAACGTAGTTTTATTTTTTATCAGTTTGCAAAATAGTCAGGTGTGTCTCAACGCACTATGGCATTAGGCTTTCCTTACATTTAATTTTTAAAAGCATGAGCGAAATTCTTCACTGCCTTGCAGTTGCACTATAACTTACGTAATCCATATTTATCTGTTTGTTTCAGAATGGAAATTCTCAGCAAATTGAATCAACTAGTAAAAGAATGGATTTATGAAGTAAGCATCAACCGCAATATGCCTGGAAACGTAGCCGAACATGTTGGTGGTAAAATTTACACATTTGGCTCATACAGGCTCGGAGTTCACCACAAAGGTGCTGATATTGATGCTTTATGCGTAGCCCCTCGACATATTGATAGGTCAGATTACTTCACCAGCTTTTTTGAGAAGTTGAAAACTGTTCCAGAAGTAACGGAATTAAGGGTAAGTAACTTGCACATAGTTATAATCCTCACAAGACATCACCATATTTTTCTGTCTCCTCAAAACCTCTTTCAACAAGAATTTAGAATGCCCAAGTGAATTTTAAACAGGTTTACCTTCTTTTTCAGATAGACAATCATAAGTAGAAAACGATCCATTTTCAAAACCAGTTTTTGAAAAATAAATGCATTTTCACTGGAACCTCATGATAGACCAATAAAACCTTTTTTTCTCTCTTAAATCTCTTTTTGCAGATAAATTCGCTTTGCTTAGTAGGTAACACCAGTAGAAGATATTTTTTTCTTCTTTTATTTATTCTCACTTGACAAATTTCTCTTGATAGGCGTGATTTACTTTCAAGTCTATGTTAACAAAAAAAATTCTTATTTGATTGAGGATGAAGTCCCGTATTCATATTTTAATTGTCACGCCATCATAGTGTCTAAATCTTGGCAGATTTATTCAAAATATTGGTTTCCTAAAAAAACTTTCACTTTTTTCTTTTTGCAGGCTGTAGAAGAAGCTTTCGTACCCGTCATCAAGATGAATTTCGATGGAATAGAAATTGATTTATTATTTGCCAGGCTAGCGTTAAAAGAAATTCCAGATTCAATGGTAAGTTTCACAAAGTAATCTTTCATTTCACTTTCCTCACTGTCCTATGATAGTTCTAGCCAGAGTTGTAGACTTCTCTTAGCTCTTCCACAACAAGAAGCAGGGAACATCGACTAGTCTTCCCTATTTTGCTGGAACAAAAAATTTACTGTGCCCTTAATTTTTGATTTGCCACTGATTACTTACTTACTTGAGTAGTGATGCAATACAAGCTTGAACATTCTTAAGGCCTGATTTAAAGACTGTGTTTTCAATATATAACCGCTTTCTGGATGCTTTCAATCAAAGCAGAAACATAGCTCATTGTGTATACAGAATTTACTCGAATGATGACTCTTGCTGTTGATCCTTGGAATCAAAATTATTTTTGCATGAAAAGTCATAAATCAAGCTATTATTTATTATTGACCAATTTTTAATAAACTTTTCTGACGAACAAGTAGTTTTTCCATGTGCATTCTTTTCTCAATAAACATAGAAATTTAATTTTAAAAATCTTTAAAAAATTTTGACAAACTAGTGCCAAATAGTCAATAAGTATTTTTGTAATACCAGATAATGTATTTAACCATATTTTTATACCAAATAGACAATGCTTGATCATTTTTTGGTGTCAAATAGATAAAAATAATATTTGCATGCCAAGTTGATAATGAACAAGTTACTTTCCGAAAAGAAAAAATAAATAAATCTGTGTCAGTTGCTTTCATGTACAGATATTTCATGTTTTAAAATTCTTTCCAATGATAATTTCAGGATTTAAGAGACGACATGTTGCTGAAAAATTTAGATCAAAAATGTGTCAGGAGCTTAAACGGTTGCCGTGTGACTGATGAAATTTTAAGACTTGTTCCTAATATTGAAAATTTTCGCCTAGCTCTGCGGACGATAAAGCTTTGGGCTAAAAGTGAGTATTTCCTGCTCTTTTACCCTTTGTTTTTTATATTTGTGTGTTAGTCTGACTTCAACGAGTCTCAGCGCCACCTTACAAATATCTTAGTGTTACAGTCACTGAAGATCTTCGCCAGTTTAGGATGATTTTGTGACAAAGGCTCGTTAAAAACTCATGATTTTGTGACAAAGGCTCGTTAAAAACTCAGACAATCATGAAACCTGTGAACTCATCGTAATTTAATGATAAGTCAGGTATGCTTTCTGGAAAATGTTGTAAAATTTAAAGGAAGTAATCACAAATCATTCAGTAAGAAACAGGAAATTCGCAGTTAAACTGCACTAACCTTATTATAAGAACGTCTTTATTTCACATCATGTAAGAATTTCAGAAATTTTGGAGTCAGAGAAAGTCAGGAATTTGGAAAAATTATTGATTCCCTGATTTTACTTCCTATTGATGTTGAACTGCATGACAACTGGTATTGTTAGAAGAAAATTTAGTCTTTTGACCTACTTATAGGTATGCAAATTTTCATTCTCAAATTTCCCTACCTTTTTGTCTCATCAAACACATGTCTCAGTGAATTTCAGTCCTCTGTAACATACGTTCGATAAAACAAATATAAGGAGAAATGGGAGTTGAAAAATTTATGTGACATTGATGACAACTGCGCGCTATTGTAAGGGCATTTTTAAACTCTTGGTTGTTCACAGGTTCTATATTTTGTATATTCATACTTTTTTCACCGATTTTTCAGAGCACGGGATTTACAGCAACGTTTTAGGTTATTTAGGTGGTGTCTCTTGGGCGATGCTCGTCGCAAGGACCTGTCAACTATATCCGAATGCTGTTGCTGCTACGCTCATTCACAAGTTTTTCATGGTTTTCTCAAAGTGGCAGTGGCCCCAGCCTGTTCTCCTGAAGCCTCCAGACAATGTCAATTTAGGCTTCCCTGTTTGGGACCCAAGAGTACGTCAATTCAAAACCGTTTTATATTCCTCAAAACAGCTTTAGATCTGATTTAAGTTCTCCGAATGTTCAATATCAAAGGCTAATTGCAAGAAACGCGTTTCTCAGTTGCTAGGTTTAAAAATATCCGACTATTTCATCCCTCTTCAAAGAAAACTATCAGCATTTTTCTTTGCAATATTGTGTGATTTTACCAAGACTAAGTGAAGATAATTCACCGGAAATTTCAATTGAAACTTGTTGGTTGGCTTTCTTTTGAAGAGAGTATAATCATGAGCTGAGACTCATGACATCATTGTCTCAGATACACTTTTTTTCGACTTAAGCCCCTGATACTTATGATCTTTGACCGTCTTTAATGTGTGCTTGTATCTGGAAAAATTTCAGTTTATGTATCCAAGCTACAAGTACTGAAATTTTTGTCTCCCGCTTGAAGGAACATATGTTGTCTTCGTTGTTTTGATATCTATGACCATTCTTTTTTTTTTTTTTTTTTTTTTTTTTTTTTTTTGTTGGAGACTTTTTGCACGAATTACTTTGAAAATTTCTAAGTTTTTTCTCATGAAGATCAAAAATAGAATCACAAGATATTTCAGATAAATTCCTGCGATTGCTCTCTTTTAGATTAATAAAATGTAAGGAAGCAGTACTGGAACAGCGCAATGGTGATGTGCTCCTCGGAGGCGGCAAAATATCTTTCCATTACTCATTTTATGACCAGCTGCAATTTTTGTGCTCTGCCAGTTGAGATGTTATGCCCTCAACATCGCCGTAGCTGAAGATTTTATCAACTTTGACGTTCTGCTGCAGGCAGAGAATTTTACGTCCAGTGATCAATTTTCTATTTTTTGACTCACTTATTTTAACCCTTTGACGGCCGCGTTAGGAATACGGCTGCCGATAGTGGCGCTCTCTGTCAAGGATAAGATAAAGATGTAGTTCACATATTTGCCGACAGAGTGCGCATATACTGTATACTTAATTTCATTGAAAAACAAGGGAGCTAGAGCGGGAAACACGAACGCGAGGCGCAGCACGAGAATACTCGGGCGTGGTCTGTGACGGTGGCTCGCCGCAACCCGAGTATTCTCGGGCGTGGTACTCAAAGGGTTAAGACTACTCTCATGCAAAATTTCAGATCTTCAGCATGTTTCTGTAATGAGATACGAGAACTTCAAATCAGTGATTTTCACCCATAGCAGCAGTGATTTCAATACCCAATAACCTAGTATTGAATACCTAATAGAATATTTATGTTTCACTGTACGGATAGCTTGTATCTATGCCTTTCATTCTGTTTTTACCGGACCTAAATCCAACATTCTATTCTGGGGTAATTCCAAGTACCGCAAAACGCCGTTTTTCCTGAAAGCCACTTTGGATAGACGCTACTGAAGTGGAAAATTTTCAAGAAATCTAAAACGGTAATTTTTGTGCTTAGTTAGTATGCAAAAATGTGAGAATTAAATATGAAAGGTGTTTAAGTCGGTCGAGCAACCACCTCTGGATGATTTCTCATGAAATGACCCCATTGCTCACCTGTATTTTTTTTATTGCAGTTTTCCCTCTGCCTTGAATCCAGTTCGATTTAAGTTTCTCGGGCTTTTTTATACCCAGGTTTTCTATGTTAAATCTATTTTTATTTATGGCTGTTTTACAGGTGAACGTTGCCGACCGATACCACTTAATGCCAATTATCACTCCAGCGTATCCTCAACAGAACTCTACTTTTAATGTTTCCATATCAACGAGGACGATCATGCAGGAAGAATTTAAGAATGGACTTTCAATAACAGAGGAAATAGAATTAGGCAAATGTACATGGGATAAGCTGTTTGAAGCACCAAATTTCTTTAATAAATATAAGTAAGTCACACCTATCATCTTGTCCAGTTTCCGTTTAGCGTATTATGTATTTGGTATAGTCTGCATTGATGTGCAATTCTAAACTAGGGCTTGGCGAATATGGTTTTCTTGATGTAGAATCAAATTGAATATTTTGAAAAAGTTTCAAATTCGAATTGAATATTTTTAGTTTTTATCTATTTCTGACCGAAACCAACCTCTGTGTTTGTCGAAGCAAAAATCAAATAAATAATTTTTTTCTTTCTAACATTCGAATTTTGATCAAGTAGAGAAATTACCTAAAAACATCAAGAATCAATCAATTCATTTAATTATCAAAGGATTTTGCATACATTTTGATTTGCTGGGGAAAGAATCAAAGGGAGAGAAAATTGTTCCCTTTAATTAAGGACGAGCAATTAATTGAACTGTCACGGAACTGTAAAACTGCTGCTTACTGTCCGAAAATCTATTTTATTCAGTTTTACTTCACATCAATGCTGATCTTGCAAAGATAGTCGAGCGACATTGTACAGACCGGGGTGCCGTGCGAGGCGGAGGAGGATGGTAGGTTATGGAGGTTAGTGTGTACATTTGCCCATTTGTACGCCATGTTGATGACATGTTAGGTTGAACTCAAGTGGCGAGATTTTTGAATTAACCCGTTTAGTGCGAGTGCCGTGTGCTGGATGAGCCGATGAACCGTTGGCCTTTGTTTACCTAACCTCAAAACAAATAGTTTGAACTGCGCGCCAGATCGAGTTCCTGATAGTACGTCACCAACATAGCTGAATGTTTGAATATCAGAAGAATATTCAGTCTTTTTTTTTTTGAGATTCGAAATTTTGTCAATGTTGTTGAATAATTCGATTATTCGAGGTTTCTTGGTTAGAGTTTGAATCGAATATCGGAAAAATTGTTTGAACTTGAATATACGATATTTTCAAAAATTCGCACAGCCCTATACTAAACTAAATCCAAGAAATTGAAAGTGAAGTTTTCTAGTGGTATGTATGTTTCAACTGCAAACTGGAAATTTGAGTGTTATTAAGTAAAAGAAGTTCACAGTTGACATAGTATGTAGGTTTTTTAACAAGACTTCTTGGTATAATGATTTGCTTAAGCCGTAGTAATGTCTGCCAAATAGTTAAAACAAAATTTTGAAACAGCTCAAAATTTTATTAATGGCTGGTCTAGTAGGCATTTCAATCCTTATCTGTTGATGTGCAACACCAAAAGTTTGCGTCTGATCTAATTATATCTTTTTTTGCTGATCTATCAGTGGTCAAGTCCTTCATTTCCTGTTACAAAATATTGGCTTATTTTCTATCCTGACCTTATCTCTCATAGCCAACGTTTTTCTTCCGCAGGCACTACATTATACTTCTGGCCGCAGCCAATACGCCAGAGGACCAACTGGAGTGGTGCGGACTGATAGAATCCAAAGTTAGGTTTTTAATCGGTAATCTAGAGAGGAACCAGCATATCAGCCTAGCTCACGTGAATCCAGAAACTTTTAGTGAAATGAATCCTACGGATGACAAGGCGCCACCAGGCACAATGTGGTTCATCGGATTAGAATTTCAAAAATCAGAAAACTTAAATATTGATCTTACTTATGATATTCAATCATTCACCACTACTGGTAAGTATTGCTCAAAAACTCACCAAGTTCTCTATTTATTTTTTATAGTTTAAAGATGAAACTATATTTTTGAATGATGTGGTCTATCAGAGCAATGAAATTATGCCTCGATTATTTTCAATCTTTGAAAGGTATGTGCTATAGCTTGTTTCAGATTACTTTTCCACTTCTGTTGTTGTCCCTATCCCGTAGAAAGGGAAAGTAAGTAATCTGAAATGGGCTATAATGCGAGGCACAAGCAGACACAAATTTTCCAGTCAATAATTCTCAGAGGAGAAATCTTGTTGAGTCAACCAAATACCTCTTTAAAGTGACAGGACGTTCCTTTAAAATCTTAGGAAGACTGTTTGAAATAAGAATATTTTCTGTTGACTCCACCAGAATTCTTCCAGGAATTATTACTTAGAATTCGTATTGATTCGACAAAAATAATTTTTTACGCGCAGTTGTAAAGACGAAAGTAACTCGAATGAATCATGTATAAATTTCTTTGCTCCGGCTGAAATTTGTTCCTTGATATGGTGTTTTTTACGACCCCTGAGGCTTGGTAAGTCCTAAGCATCGCACTTCCCACTCGCCAATTTCCGGAAAATTTAAGCTGAAAATTGAACTTTTCTGTGTTATATGTAGGTGTATCAAATTTTGCATCTCCACTGTTACCTATTTGAGCAGCAATCAAATATATTTAATACTTTACAATAAAATAAATATTCTCCTTTTCTAGGAGTATTCTAAACGATATATGCCCAAACACTTAGGTCACTCAAGAACAGGTTGCCATTGATGCATCAATTGTTAATAGCCACCATATCTGATGTTTTGATGTGTCTGTTATTCAGAAGTTTATGCAGGGATGTGCAGTGTGCTGCTGTTACTTATTTGTTTTGGAATCTTTCAGCAAAGAAGTAAGGACACTGTCTTACCTTTTTGGCAGGCAAGGAAAAAAAAGCTCAGATAGTAAGTCCATCTGGTGTTTCTATTGTTCCACTAAAAATATCCATAAAAGTGCTGGGAAAAAAATGGAAGTACAAAATTACTCTCCAATCTTTTAGGTTTAAGCTGTCTTGTAGGCTTTATCATTTTTTATGTGTCAACATTATCATTCTGTTAATTTCTTTTGATTTCATTTTTTGTTCTCTAGTTCATCGACAAGCCTTGCAAATTAAGTTATTAAAAGACGGTATGCGGATGGAGGCAAAGCATGTCAAGAAAAAGAATTTATCTGAACACCTTCCACAATATCTTCTCAAAAAAGACAAAAAGGTAAAGTTGTTCATCTAAAATTAGTACTTGGCACATAGAAACCAAAAAAGAAAAAAGATAATTTATTACTAAAATTTATTGTCTTTTGAAGCAAGTTGATCTACTGCCTCAGAAACTGAATCAGGGACAGCGTTGCGTTTTTGATGTAAAACAAACAACTGAAGTATTTTTTCTGCTAATATCTTAAAATCATGAATAATAAAATTGATTTTGATGTCAGTTTTTGCCATTGTATTTCTTAAAAAGCAATTTTTCTGCTGATCAAATTATCGTATCAATTATCAAAATAGAAATTCATGACACAGGCTAATCAATCTGGAAAGACTATGTAGGGGGGGGAAAATCTGGTATTTTTACATTTTCCCTCCAGATATATTGTATTATTAATTCATATTTCTCTCTTTTATTTTTGTAGATCAACAGCACGGAAAAAAGAAACGGTACCACCTCGGACAGAACCTCAACGGAAAGGAAAAGGAGGTCCGATTCAAATATGGAAGGGGGAGGTAAAAGGACTAGGGTTAATAGCACAGAAACTAATTCAGTTGTAAGTACCCTTTTCTCATCACCTTTTAAGTTGCAGAATGTTCAAGAGAATCCTTTTGTAGAAGAGTTGATATTTTTTTTTTGCACTAAATGAGGGCACAGTGTTCATATTACACTAGAAAAAATTATGTAACGAATCTCTCCTTGATGAAATCCTCTTCTCTTTTTTTTGTCAAATAGGCGGGTAAAGCGGCTGTACTGAGTCCTTATTTATTTTGATGGTCATAGTGTGAAACCACGTATCTCCATTTCCAATGTTTTTTGATCTTATTATTTGCTGATAATAAACTTTTAATCCTCAGCAATAAAAATCTAAACAATTTAGAGGTAGATGCCTGCATTCTAATTAACCTCTTTAATCAATAGTGCGAAATTAACTTGTTGAATATGAACTGAGTCAAAACAAATTTTTTTTATGTAACCGAAAACCGAAACCAGGTATCAATTTTAACATCTTTGTAGATGAGACAGAAATCAACAGGATGTTCGTCATCAAATACCTTGGTCTTCTAATAGACAAGAATCAAAACTTTAATCATCATGTTAATCAGTTATGCGCTAAGCTCAGGGTTACCGCAGTCAGGGACAACCTGGAATTGTCAGGGAAAATGATGAAAATGTCAGGGAAAAATTGTCAAGTCGTCCTTATTCACTTTTGAGACTAGGCTTGACGTTTCATACAATACATTTTGCGCGAAAACTATCTGAAGTCATGTCTTTATAACCATCTGGCATATTTTCAATTGTCAGAGAATTTCACAAAAATGTGACAGGGAAATCAGATAAATGTTAGGGAATTTCATGTCCTCACTCTGTGGCAACCGTGCAAACTGAAGTCTTTGACATTTATTTTAAGATCGTTATCTAGATTCTGTGACTTTAAATTACTGCTTACTGTTTATTATGCCTTAGTTGTCTCTCACAGTGGAAAACAAAGAGAATGTAAAAGCAGTGTGCTCTATGAGTAGAATAATAATTTTTCCGCTCTATGAGTAGAATAATCCGTAAAAAATGTTTCTCCTCTTAAAAATAAAATAAGAGTGGAAATTTTGAAACATTGCAATTATGACAAGCGGTTTTGCACTTTATCCATTGATTTTTTCCTCCTGTTCTCCTTTACTGGTGCCACTAATTTATGCGTGGATTTTCCTTATCAAAAGACTTAATATTTTCTTTGTTTAATTGTACTATATTTTAAATTTCTATTTTGATTATTTTTGAGACGAATCTTGTACATCTGTGTGTAAATCACTCTCTCTCTGAGAAGTCTTAAGAATTTGTAAGAGGGTGAACCCAGTTGACAAACTTTAAAAAATCTTAATTCACTTATTTTTTAACAGACGATTTTTTTGGAGTCTTGCTCCAGCCTCAGCTTATATAACAACTCGAGAATAGTCTAAGAATTGTCCTTAGTTTCTTCCTAGGCTAGTATTATACATTGTAAATGGTTGGACCAATTTTAATCAATATTGTTTCAATTTTTCAGAACGATGAAAGTTCAGCCACTTACGCGGCTCTCAACAATACTGATGATTCCATGTCGAATATTTCCCTCGAATTAAATGAAAAGAAAACCGCAGAAGCTGTAGAATTATTAAAGGTAAGTCATGTCTTCGATTAATACTTCGCTGTTTTCATTGCTCAGCAAGACTGAAATTCAGTAGCGTAGAAAGATAAATCGTAATTTTTATTTTTTCTTGTAACAGTTACCATTGTCAAGCATCTATCTATTGATCATAATAGAAAGGAACGATCATGCAAGAATTATTTTGTAGGCAACTTTTAGATTCAGTTGTAATTTTCTAGAAAAGTCCCTAGTTGGACCTTTTTTGGTGAAAGAATCATGCAAGGTCAAAATACAATTTCTTTGGAGGAGAGAATGGTCATTTTTTTGGTTGAAAGTATTCCAAAAAAAAGATAAAGAGAGGGGAAAAACAAATGTCTTTATTGACTCCAGTTATGAACAAACCAATATTACTCTGGTTTTACCATTGGTCAGGAGTTCGTTAAACTTTTCTCTTGAATGTACAACTCACTTTCTAAAAAAATGTCAATAATTAAACTGAAGTTATAAATTCATAATCAAAGTAGTTCAAACTGTCTTCTATTTTTTTCTTCTTAATTTTGGTTTTTATCGTATTGCAGGTACTTTTTAAGGGTAACAGTACAGGGTAAGGGTGCAAGTGTCTCCCATTTTTTGCAGTTAATGTAAGGTAGTCGTAATATGCGAAGCTGGTCCAAAAGTTTAGCAATCAGGGCTAAGAATTCGCTTAATTTTACCACCTAGTTCGGCTTTCCTGCTCCTAAAACTGCACAATAGAGAAAGCGAAGCAATATTGGGCCTGTGTTGATAATTACCATGATCATATCGCGGTTTTCTATTCTTTTTTTCTCTTTTAATTAGTGCTTTTTTTTTTCAAGTCACTGCTTAACATACATAAATTGCCCTAAATCTTTAAATTTAAAATATCTCTGAATTTACTTTTGTCTTTTGATGTTTCTGCTGTAATTTTTTCCTGAATCCTTACATCATTCTTGGGCAGTTTTGAACGGCATGTTGTTTCCTGTCATCATCTCAAGATCGACCAGATTTTTCTGCTTTTTTTTTCTTGTTACATTTTTTCAAACTAGAAATTTCACTCTCGCTTCCTTCCAAAGAATCCTGTTAATTTTAGTGCAAGGAAAATTTATTTCCTAGCAGATTCTGATAAAAGGTTCCGGTATGAACAGTCAAATTGCAGTTTGTTTCATTTAAACATTATCCTGTTCACAAAGCCCCCAACCCCGGAAGAAAAAAAAATTTAAAAAAAAAATTGCCTCATCCTCAAAGCTATCAATTCTAACATATTCTGTTCCAAACTTTTCCAGGCCAATGAAATTCAAAAAAGTTTACCGGAAGAAGTAGTTACGTGACAAGGAGTCTAGGAGCTCTGTGGGAATTCATCAGTATTCAATCATCGTGAGTAAATTTGTATTTTTATTTCTGGGCCGATGAAGAGCAATTAAATATTGATTGATATCTTTTTTGAATGAACACATTGTCACTGAGTGCCAGGAAAACATATGAGGAATCATTTGCTGAGATCGTTCCTCTTGCGCTAAAGGACTCTCCCATAAGTTTCCCTGAAGAGAGTATATCCACATCGGTATAAAAGAAATGTAATATTTTGAAATAGAATAGCTTTTTTCTCCCTAAAATTTCTGTCATTTGGTGTTATATTATTATTTGAGATTTGATTCAAACACATCCGTTAAATCAAGGGAGAGCAAGTGTGAGTTACAAGAATCCTGGTGATCTGGAATTTGGGGGAAAAAAAGGAATTTGCAATGACCAAGATATGTCAGAAAATTTGCAAGAAAAGATGGGGAATTTTGAAGTTGGCTTCTTGGCTCGGAAGCTGCAGCAGATGCCCTTTGAGGTACCACAATTTTTGAATACCTTTTTTCATATTTAATTTGAATCTCCAGGAACAGAAATTTTGTCTAGAGTTAAGCTAAAATCAGTGTATTTTTACTAAAACAAAATTTCAGGTTGAATTTTCTTGAACATTGAGGAATTTGAAAAGTTCAGAGTCAGAGAAGGTCAAGAAATTATTAGGGCTGTGCGAGTACTCGAATTTCGAGTCGAGCCGAGTATCGAGTACTCGACTCGGCTCGAAAGTTAGGTTATGTTCGAGCGAGTACTCGAACTCGGCTCGAGTGTCAACAACACGAGTTTTTTTGAGCCGGAAACGCCGAAAGAGTCCAACTTCCAAATATTTCAATCATACTTCAACTAACGTTAGTTTTGCCATCATTTTACGATTGAGTAACATTAGAGTCTCATCGGCAAATTTCTACCATCGGCAGCGCCAACACGCTACCGCCCGGCGATTTCCTGCCGCCCGCGGTTTGTAAATACACGGAGTCATATGAGCGCATTTATGCGCGCGACCAATTTCAACCTGCGGCGGCGACCGCCGCTTGGAAGACTGAAAGTGAGCACGTGTTTTGGACCTTTTGCGCTCCAGATAAACGGTGTCGCGGCGGTAGAAAAAAGGTGCTGCGGCTACAAAAATATGGATCGCGCGATTCCAAAAAACGTCGCGGCGACAACTGCCGCCGGCGACACGAATTGCGTGCATAAATGGGCTCTAAAGCCTTCACTTGTGCCGCCCGAAGTTCCTTTGATGTACGCCGCAGATTAAATCACGTTTTAAAACTCGAAATTACTCGAACTCGACTCGAGCTCGACTCGGCTTGAGGGTCATTTTCAAAGCTCGAAAAAGCTCGAACTCGGCTCGACTTAGTGAAAAAATACTCGAACTCGGCTCGAATCCAAAAAACCAGGCTCGCACAGCCCTAGAAATTATGGAAATCATTTTGTTAATAAAGCAAAGTTAACAATGAGTTAAACTTAATTTTTGTCGTGTCTAAGATAAAATTTGTTAAGATTAAATATTTGTTACTTACTTGGCACTCCCTTTGCCGGTAGAGGAAGTATTGTCATCATATGAACAAAAAATTGAAATTGTATCATTTCTAGGCATTTTAAGGTGGTTGGAGTAAAAAAAAGCATACTTACGAAATTGTATGTCTTTTTTTTAAAATAAAAATTTTACTGATAGTGATTATTTTGACATCGCAATCTTTTTTCTCTGTTTCAGGATGTGGATAACTTTACGAGGATGTTTTTGTTTTGTATCATGGTAAAAAGCAGCATCTGATCCTATCGTCTTCGGTGATTTTAAATTTAATTAGTACTTTATGTTCGTTTCTTTTCCATTATTTAATTTTTCTTTCCGTATGTTTCTTCTATTTTCTCTTTTGTATATGCGATTTGTAAATACGACGAGCAAAAAACCCCCTCCAGGCCTCATAGTTTTAAATTATTCAAAATTTTAATTGTGATGCTATCAATGCTATCATTAACGTTCAACTTAGGTAGGAATTAAATTATTTCCAGTTCTAAATTTCTATGTATTAAAATAATAAAATGCCAAAAAAAAAAAAAAAAAAAAAAAAATTAAAGGTAAAAGGTGAAAAAAAAAAAAATGAGCTAAGAAAAAAAGTATATTGAATATAGGGAAAAAAAAGAAAAAAAAATACTAGGTAGAAATCAGTTGAGTTATTTATCATCCGGTAATAATGGTTCTCAATTATTTACTTCTCTATTTTATTTTGCATTTCTGTATTTCCTTTAAGAGTATATATCTTCAATGCAAGCAAGAATATCGATGCTATTGTAAAATTAGGTGTAGTCATAGGCATCTATCTATTTTTTTTTTTTAAATTTTTGTTAAATATTTATCGGACCTTGACACATGACTGTCATGTACGGTGTGAAATTGTATATTATTTTCATCTCAAGTTTTCACATTTAACGACCAATCGATCTTTTCGTTTCTTGTCAAGAACTTTTGTCATAGTCTTGAGTGCCACGCGACTGGCAAGCCGTGTTTGATGTTTAATCAGGGAAAGTAAAGCGCAAAATTCAAAGTGGATAAGCAACGGATCGGCTTTCTGACGTTTTTAGTGGTCGTATGCTATCAAGATGTCCATATTATACACCCTAGATCAAATTCAAGCATAGGTTTTTGACGTCATTGAATATTTTGAAACCAAAGATGCAGGAATCCTTGATGAAATCTTTAGTTTTGTATTTTACCCTATCGTCAATAAATGTGCGACATGCCAATCTAGGTTTGTGATATTCTATTTTCCTGTCGTGACTAGGCAGAGAGTTGATGTGTCAGCCATTTGGCAACAAGGTTGATATTAAGCAGAACTTTATTGCGCAGGTCTTAAAAGTTCTAAAAACTTGAGCTTTCTTCACAATCTCACCTTCGATTTATTTCCTCTTTTTCTTGTCGGGCAATGTAGAGGCAAGACTCGAGCTCTTCTTCCCATCTTGATTTTCTAGTAATAATTTTATTAGAAATCACATATTCATTGAAGTAAACATAATGCTACTTCGCTTTTCTCTCAAAGCTGAAGTTTTTGAATCATGAAAGTATTTTGTATGACACATATGGGCGGAACTAGGAATTTTCTGAGTGCGGACACAGAAGGATTTAGAGCAAGGACTTAGCGAAAGTAAAGTTCTGTTCCCTCTGTAGTAACGTAATGTTAAAGTGAGGTAATGTCAAAGTTCCTGTAGACTGATTTACCTCTAAAATATTTTTAAAAGCAATCTTCATTGTAAAACGGTCATTGGTAAAACTATTATTATGGTGTGAAATTTGTTTTCTCCCTAATGAGCCTCACTAGAGTCCAGGGCAGTTCGTTCTGAAATGAGCAGCATCTGTTGGGTCAAGTTCGTCTACCAGAGAGGATGAGAGGATGTCTGTATGATCACCTCTTGGAACGAAATGCATTATAATCCCAGCATCTCCAACTATAAGTCATAGGTTCAATGGCTACCCCATTTACCAAGAATATGCACCTGATTTAAAAAAAATCAACCAAATCCACCCACCTCACAGACTACAACCAGAAAAAAGCCACTGGTCATAGTCAATTGAATGCAGATATACTTCCACACGTTTTGCCCTCTCTCGGCACTTTCTACAATGCTGAAGTCACTTTTACCTAATTTGACCCTAGGAAAATTTTTGGAAATTGGAATGTCTCGAGAGCGATTTTAAGCCACTTTCAATTAGCAAAATTGTGGGGGCGGGGAGAGACCCTGGCCCCCATAGTTCCACCCATGATGATTCGTAACTCTTGCTTGGTTAATTCAAGGTTTTGTCGTTCTTTTCAATGTGTTTTGCTTTCCACTGGCGCAGTCTGGTCGTTTATCTTTTCTAATTTTTTCATGATTTCCTAATATCAGAAGAAAGGATTATTCAGAAATCATTTTTATTTTTTCTTCTCTTTGTTCTTGTTTGAAGTCTCTCGTATGAGGTATCTGATATTTACCTACCAATTCATAGTTTGTAATCCGAATTGTATGCTGTTCAGCATTTTTCATTTATTTTATATCTGCTGAGTATGTGCAATTTTCCCCTGTAATTTCTTATCTAACCGTACCCTTGCCCATCTTGTTTAATATTTCAACTTTTGCAGTTTAGATTTTAAAGTTTTGTGGATTCTGCTAACTAATCACTGAGTGGAATCAAAAGAAAAAGGAAAAGAATCTTCATCGGTTTTGAGGAGTTTTCTTTTATTTTCGGAAGATTCTAGGCTAAAATGTTATATTCTTTTTCTATCATCAATGTCATTGTTTTCTTCTATGTTCCATTTCTGGTGTCCTTCATTTTATTCTCTCTTCATTCTGAGGTTATTTCCTTTTTTTTCTTTCTCATTCCTTTTTCCTGTTTGTGAAAACGCCGGGTTTCAGTTTTTGTTGTTTTCATTTTTTTTTTACACGTGTTCCTTCCGATCCTATTTTTTTTCCTCTGGTTTTAATCTATTGATCCTAATATCTGATCCATCAATTTTTTGTTTGACAGATTTTATCAATCAATAAAACCAAACGTTTGTTCCTATTTTACTCTTGTTAAATGTTGAAGCACCTTTAAAAAATTAAGAAACGCAGTACCGTCTTTGACTCTCTCCTCATAGATGTTTGAATTTTTTCTCTGTGATTTCTTCTCTTTTTTTCAGTGGCTCACAGTCCAATTTATTGTCTCTCACTTTGGCAACATTGATAAACTGTTGAAAAGAAGATTCATGTTAAATCTTTAACATTTTCTGCAATTTTTGCAGAAATTCAGGCAACTCTGTGGTGGTTGTCTTCGTATCTTAATCTACCTGGACGGCTCTCTTTTTGATTTTTGATAGGATCCTAATCTCCCATTTTTGTCAGTTTTTTTTTCCCAATTTCTTTTGGGTAAATATTTACCCTTTTCAATTTTTCAACGGTCTCCAAATGAAATTGTCATACGTATGTAGGCAGGAAACGCTCAGTTATGAGATACTGATTGAAATCCGATTCCAAAAGTCTTCTTGTTTTTGTTCTTTCTTTTTTCTTTTCCTTTGGTGTTATCATCCCGGAGTCTGAATATTCATAAATCAGGAAAAATATCGATCTAAACATCTTAGTAGGACCACACACTGATCTCTACTGATGTTCATTGTACTTCTTACAAATGAGTAACTAATGTTTGACTGACTGTTTAAATCAATCGAAGTGTTCGTCGTAACAGAATAGAATACAATAAAATAAAATCGAAAAAACAATTTCACGCAAGCTTCCAAGTTTTTAAGTTATCTGCAGACACTATGGAGCTTCTGAAGTTTGTGAGTTAGTATAAATCTTAGAAAGAAACCCTTCTTCCTTAGCGAATTGAAGTCTTTAACAAAACTGTCAAAACTGGTGTGCATTTTTGTGTTCACTCATCGATTCCATAATATTTTTTGAGCAAGGAATGTCACTTCCTTAAAAACTTGTAATACCTATGCCCGTTTTTAGGGGTTTTTTATTTTATTTTATTTTTTTCATTTATGTATTTTTTTTTATTTATTTTTTTATTTTTTTTTATTAAAAATTTCTCTCTCCCTCTTTATCCTTTTGAGAGTCTCTCAAATAATATTAACAAATTCTGGAAAATGTAAGTTATCCAACTATGTATTCAGAACATGTTTTCAGCAACTGTACAGTTATTGTTTCTTCGTTTTTTTACTTCAAAACGTTGACAGATAATCTTAAACTCTCAGAACCATGAACTTCTAAACTAAAGAGATTAAACCAACAGTTACTGTTCTTCAACAGGATCAATCAAATGATTTTACTGTCGCAAATTTTCTGTTCCAACCATGAAAGTTCTTAAAATTTTAAGTATGAAAAAGTTATTAGTTGTCTGTATGGTAAATAATCTTTGTGAGAAAAATGTAGTCTTAAGTCAAGAAAACATCAAATTGATGATAATCATTTAGAGAACAACTTCAAGAACATCTCGAGCCCTGACCACCGACTGGCTCATCCATTGAAATTGATTGCTCTAGTTCAGATCTATAAGGTGTTCCCTTATAGAAGCGAGGCTCCATCAAGGTCAATATTTATGATAAGTTAGTGGTCTAGAAGTCTGACTCCCAAGTTTTCACCAACTCATTACTAACTGCATTATTGTAGTATTGAACTGTGTATTCTGAAATTATTTCTGAAGATTAATGTTGTGATGAAAAATGTATTTATTCGAATCGTAGCTTCGAATGCTTATCAAATGTATTGAGTCTAGCTTAATGCCTTGAAGACGAATGGTTTTCAAGGAAAATGGGGATTTTAAAAGATGAATTGTGCTTGTGCAATTTAAAAAAAAAAAAAAAATTGTGACTAAGCTCCGCGGGTGCGTCAGCCAAGGCAAAGCGCCTTTGAATTTTATTATAAAGCGCCATTTGATCAAGCTCTGTCATGTATATTGTAGCGACCCATTTGAGATTTGAGAAAGTGTTAATCTGAGTTCTTCTAAGATTGATTAGGTAAATTGATCGCTGAGTTAAAAAGACAGTAGAATGTATTGTTGGTGCTTTCTCAATGAGTTATATAGTAAGTGATATCAGTAACTTTAAAATCCCGTTTTTTTTTAAAAAAAAAAAAAAAACTTTCTTTCAAGTCCATTTAACAACCTCTCATAGTTTCCCTTCTTTATTTTGTTTATTTGTTTCCTTTGAAAAAAGAAATTTTCGTAAAAATTAATTTATATATTTCATTTAATCTCCTACAGAAAAATAACTCCCCACCAAAAACAGAGAAACCAATTCCTTATAGTTGAAATTTTTATTCATTTCTTCTCCTTATTAGTCAGGCTGTTGAGAAAAATTAGTTTATATTATGTACTTTATTTATAGTCTTGAATGAAGGACACATTTTTCTGAAGTTCTCTTATTAGAAGAAATGAATAAGAACGTCAGAATCACCATTGCTGGCTGGCATCAGGCCATTTTTTTTCACTATGTTGACCCACAGCAACGGGAGAACATAAGGTGAACTCAATTATAAGGAATTGTGTGATCCCCGAAATATACTTGTTACACTTTATTTTTAAATATTAGATTACATTCAATGTTAATTCTGTGTTACCTATTTTGTCCATACTTTTCAAAGCAAATCAGACCTGAAATTGTATCATCCTTATTTTGTACTCGAATTGTAATTTTTTTTTATCAATTTTTTCAATAAAATCTTCCGCTCCCCCTTCAATTTTGTTGTTCAATCATCATATTCAAACCTTCCTATCAAGCTTTTAAGACTTTTAAAGACATCTCTTTTACATTGAAAGGGACGCACAGTTGGACGCATAGACGACAATGGGAGAATGGGAAAGATCAGGGTTTGGACTCTTGAGATCAAATTTTTAACTGCTACTTTTTTTGCTGAATGATCTGTCAAAGCTTTAATAGGGTGAAATCTCGGGGGTTTAAGAACGCATTTTCCACCAATGTAAATTAACCGATATCTTTGACTCTTCAAACGTTTACCTTAATGATACTGCAACAGTGGAAATATATACTCAATGTACCAGTTTTTACTCCTTTTCTGCCATAATTAAATGACACAGGCCTTGTCTCCACGGGATGTTTTCATGGGATTTGTCCCAAGTTCGAATCGCAGGAATGAAACTTCTTGGATTTTTCCCAGTTACTGGCTCCATGGGACGGGGCTCATACAGTCCTGCGACTAGTTTGCGCGCGAAGATAAATTAGTTAAAGTCGAGTATTAAACCGGGATTAAAATACGAATTGCACTCAATTAACAATCAGACACATTATTTCAACTCAAGGCGCCGTAGCAACCGCGTCCCATTGTTCATCGTTACATACGAATATAAGTTGAGCGAGGCCAGTCATAATGCCTTCAATTTTATACATACATATTTTTGGGCAAAATGAGAGACGACGTTTCTCCGTTTGCGACGTTGCAGACTTCCTTAGAAATTTTATTTTTCTTTCGAGAAGCTGGTCAACATAAAACTTAAATTTTCCGGTCCACCGGTTCCACCGCTGGTCAATTTTCCAGTCAGAAAAAGTCCCCCGCTTTGCGCTATCCACTGAAAACGCCTTAGAGAATCAGTCAAAATCTGGCCTTAATGTCTCGTTTTTGACCAGTTTTTGACTGTTTCTCGGCTCAGAAGGCGTTGCCAAGCCTCGGGACCATGCGCAATCGACCCAGCGCATTCAACTACATAGGATTTGACTGTAATCTGAAAATGTTTCTCCACAACCAAAATCGAGAAAAATAGACACGGAGTAAATTTTTATGGTCAAAATCGAAAGTTCACCAATCGGGCCGAAACCATGCGAGCTCGCTTGGAAATGACCCGCTGAGTGCGATTTTCGAGTCGGGAAAGCTCTGCGAGTCCCTCCCTTCCCGGTATTTGCTGAAAACGCCTCAGAGAAACAGTCAAAAACTGGTCTTGAACGCTCACCAGTTTTTGACTGTTTCTAGGCTCAGGAAGCGTCGCCAAGCCTCGGAACCATGCGCAATCGATCCAGCGCCTTCAACTACGTAGGATCCGACTTCAATCTAGAAATTTTTCCCCACAACCAAAATTGAGAAAAATAGACAGGGATTAGACGGACTGCATTTTGCAATTTGGACTTATAAATTCCGGCCCGGTTTAAAAACAACGTATGTGCCATTAGTTTCCCTATGCACGTAAGTGTTTTTTCAGATGAGCCAGAATTTATAGGTCCAAATTGCAAAATGCAGTCCAAATGAAGTGAACTTTTATGGTCAAAATCGAAAGCTCATACCGATCGGGCCGAAACCATGCAAGCTCGCTTGAGAATGGCCCGAAAATTATTTTTTAAAATTAAATTTTAAAAATTATTTAAAACATTTTGCCCGTCCAAAATCGTGGAAAATCGACGGTGGTTAAATGGATCCAATTCTCAAGGTCGAAATTGAAAGTTCTCCAAGAGCTGAAATTAAGCCTGACCCATTTAAAATGACCCGAGGAGTCTGTAAAAATGAAACTGCATGTGTTTTATATACAAACGAAAGTTCGAATTCGACCGCTGCTGACCACACTGTTTGGCGCAATGCGTGAAGTATTCATGCAGTCTTGTAGGCGCTTGACATATTTTATTCCGGTAAAACATGGGTAAAACTGATTGACAAGACACAAGCAAAGAGTCTGCTCGGTACAGTTCGCATTTGCCTTTTGAGAACAGGACAACGAAATCTTTATCTACTATCCTTTTCACTGATAGGAGATTTGCAGAAAGTTCAGGCACAAAATTTACATGTGAGAAGCAGTTGAGTTTGCTGTCATTTAAAGCGACGCGAACTCTGCCTTTGCCTTCAACAGGCATACGGTAACTGTTAGCTACAGAAACACTGGTGTCATGGCATGTGCTGAAGTCACTGATGTATGACCTATTGTTTGTCATAATGCAGGGGTTGCAGCTATGCGTTTCAAACCGACTGCTGCTGACCGCAGTGTGTTTGACGCAATGCGTGAAGTATTCATGCAGTCTTGTAGGCGCTATGCGTTTCATGCCGACCGCCTCACCGCTCCGTTCCAGGTTAAATTGCGTGTTTGGTTTCTCTCTTAACTCGACTAACTAAAGGTGTTGTCTCTTGTATCACCGAAAGACGACAAAATTAGAAATTACTATACTTTCCCTCTCAGGAAATGAGAGATTTTGTCGCCTTTTCTCGTTTGTAATTTATTTTCTGAATCCGATTTTTTCCTCTCTTTTTTTGATACCTACATTCAAGAAGATTGCAAAATTTGCCGCCCCCTACATTTTGCCGCCATGGGCCGCGGCCCATATGGTCACCCCCTTGATCCGGCCCTGCTGCAGCGATAGTCATTGTTTTTCAATGAGGGAAAAGTTGTAACTTTTTAGTAAGACTGCATGAAATTATATAAAACTCTCATCTAGAGATTTCAAAATTTTCACAATCATCTAGGTATATATTCCTCCCCTCGTCAACCTTGATAGGTACGTCACTTCAATCATTTCCAATCATTAATTTTCGTTGAAGAAGTGAATGCGGCAGTGTGCGTATCGTGTCTCACAACCACGGCTCACTGATGTTAAAAAATATTAACAAAGCGTGTAACGAAGAAATGACTGATGTGATCGCTCATGTCGAAAATGTTCGGCCTCAGAGTACATGTGGGTGGTATTAAATCATAAATCAAAATTGGTGAAAAATTCATTCAGTAATTTTTATTCAAGTCAAGGAAATGCTGAGTGGAGCAATGAGTACGAACTCAACTTTAAAAACACAGTAATAAAATTGTGCAGAAATACAAATGACTTACTTTATTAAATGTACAATAGGAAGAATTGATCATGTAAAATTGACTTTTGTGCCAATCAAAATGCTTGATTGCAACGTGTGCGACTAGAGTGAAAAGGCAGCGACGCTATGATAGTCCTTTTCGAGGTCTGTCGTGGTACCGAAAAGAGCAAAGGATGAGAAAAGACGGAAAACCAAAACGGAGAAATCGAATATTCGAGGTTTTGAAAAGACCGTCATGCATTAAGTATGCCACATGTCTCGAGCATGGCAGATTAGAATTTTTAATAGCTTTTGTAGCTTTTATAGTTGCTTTAGGAGTGATACCTTAGGAGTTTTTTCATGAAACTACGTTTACTGAACCGCAAACAACAAACCACCATAGCACCAAATAGCGGATTCACCGGGAGGGGGGGAGGGGGTCACAGGCATAATCTCTCCTCGGGCCCAAGAAAAAAGGGAATGAGAGAGGGAAGAATGATTAGAAAGGTAAGAATGAGACAATAGAGAGTAAAAGTAGCGAATCCAAAAATTTACTACGATAGTTAAAGGATCTAGCTGGGACATTCCCTCCTTTTTGAGGGAGAAGGGAGGAGGTTCGTTTGTTTCATTGTTACCTATAACATATTCTTAAGTTTAACGCCCTTGCTCTTTTATCTTTTATATTTTACCTAAATATCAACATTCAAAATAAATCACAGTGAAAAAGTAAAGCCTGTCAATTTTGAACAATTTCATGTTTCGCAAAAATTTAGCCAATACTGCTTAAAATTCAATAAGGAGGGGTTCTTTCACGAAAATTTTCCAGAAGAGGCCCAGGTTCCCTAGACCCCCTCCTCCCACCTTACATGGACAAATTCCCCCTCACAAGCTATCACTGGATCTGCCACTGCTTAGGACTGGTTTGACTTAGATATTAATGGGTATTTTTTAATCCAAAAATTTTTGTTAAACACGCCCCTGCGATATACGGAACCTGTCTCAAAAAAGCTGAGACAAGCACTACAACTTTAGGATTAATACAACTAAATAGCTGATTTTGGTTGCAAAGAACGACTCATTTTTGTAACATTCTTAACTCGGTTGCGTGAGGGTATTATTCCACTACAACGTTACAGAAGTGTCAAGGAGAGTTGACACTTGCACGGATAGAGAACTGAAAAATGTCCTGAGAAAAAAGGGGAAAATTTCCGGTTATAGGACATTTCAACAACGATTTTTTGTCCACGCACCTGTTTTTCTAGCAGTTTATGTCCACGCGTTTTTTCGGCAGTGGAGTTTTGGTCCACTTAACAATTGAGACCCAAAGTTAATAAGTCCACATGTGAATACATGTATAAGTCCTATCTGTTTTCAAGAACGTCTAGCATGATTTTTGAACTCCATAAGAGGAAAAAGTGACTTGATTAAAGCAGATCTAAAGTCGAATTTACCGCCGAGAGAATTTCCTCATCAATCAATAAGGAAAATAATGTTTTTTTCAGAAAAGATGCTTACATAAAAAGGAAAGTCACTCACATCAAACAGAAACCCGCTTTCATTCAGCTACTTTCGTCATGATTTAAAATAAATTCTTCTTGACTGCATACTCAAGGATGTTTCTACCTAAATCGAGTCACTTTTTTTTTCTCTAATGACATTAAAAAATTATGCTAAACGTCATTAAATACGGATGCTATCACTTACTGAGTTTTCGGACTAAGCTCTCTTTTTGTGCCGGAGTATCTTGATTTATTTTGCGAGGAAAGCTCAGTACTCTAAAGGATGCCTGTCATCCTTAACATGCCGGAGCGCCTTCAATTTCGTATGATACTGTGCAACACCTCTGTTGTGAAATAGTTGCTTATGGCGCCGTGGCTCGCTGCGGCGCGGCGGTCAACGCGCACCGTGCATTGGCGCCTACAAACCTAAGTAGATACTTCAAGCATTGCGCAATGCGTGAAGTATCCACTTAGGTTTGCAGGGCGCTTTGCTCTGTGTTCGGCTTTAATATTTAAACTCGCAGAGTCAGCATTTTTCAACTCGTGATTTTGAAATTTTTGCACACTCTGCGTGGATTATTCTCATTTAAATAGATGCAAAAAATATGAAAAGGAAAATATAATGTGTGTTTTGTAAATATTAAGGTGGCTCCGTGTGAAATTTAATGACTTCCAAAGCACTTTAATTTTTTCATTTATACTTTGTGCGTTTACTGTGCTGCAGCGTGGTGCACGTGCAACCAAACGCTCAAAATTGGACGCATTTGACTCTAAAAGGTCGATGTAAAAATACCAATAATTGCGTGCTTCTTGGTTTTTTTCCCCCTATTTTATTCATTTTTGTACAGTTGCTTTCGACACCACCACGGCTAAATGATATTAATATCGATGCCATCTCTTAGAAAGGACTTGCCACGTTTTAAACATTTATATACTTTTAAAATGAAGTAATATTTTCATAAAAACAAAACAAAAAAAGTGTATGTAAAGTTTACTTCATATCGAAAATTTTAAGGATAGGTAAAAAACCAAATATCCTCCACCTATGACAATTTGAAAATATGAAGTAACATTTCATTTAAATAATGAGTCACCATAGCAACACCTCCTTCTCTCTCAATTTTCTCATTTCAATATTGTCGTAATTTTACTTATAATTTAACATAAATATAATGCTTGGACCAAGTCTTTGTTACTTATTTTACAAAGTGGACGTAAACTACTGGACAAAACAGGTGCGCGGACAAAAAATCGTTGACAAAATGTCCAGGAGCCAAATTTACCTTCGCAATCAAATAAATTGAGAACTTCTGCCTCATTTTCAATGATATTCTTGCGGTCGTTTGCTCGTACACAAATTAACAGCTCCTAAACGGTTCCAAGAACTTACGCCTTAATGCAAAAAATTGTCTCAATTTTGAAATTTGTGAAACTCAGGCATCTTTCTCCGGAGACGGTGAAAATTGCGGAAATTAATTCCTCTTTTCGGTAGCATAACACCATGGGCTAGAAAGGTGACGACTCGTCTTAATCCATATACGAAAGAACGTATCTCGATTTCAACCTTGCAAAATTGCCACAGTGGAAATCGGATACAACGACCTTCTAGGGACCGGCCAAATTTGGTCGTTTTATCCGATTGTCGCTATAACCGATGCTCAAGTACACTGAATAAATGGGATTTCAGCCACGGGACTGACCGGATCGCAGGTCGTTATAACCGATATGTCATTTTTAGCGAATGTATTATCCGATTCCACTGTATTTCCATCTTTTGTGTAATGGTTACTCCGAAAGTTGGCCGCTCTACCTACTTGAAAAAAATGTAGGTCACCTCACCTGTGTAGGTCGTTTCATGTGGAAACCAAATATACCGAAATAAATTCCCTTACAATGGACCACTAGACAAGGTACGAATTGAAGCATTCTGATACATGTTTCCTATACAAAATTTCAAGTTGAACAGAATTTGTAAAACAAAATATGCTGCCCGTAACTTCTAACAAGAAATTAATGTTTTTTATGTATAAATTCAAACTTTCTGCTCAATAAAAAAGCTACTACTTCAGTCAAATCGCACACTAAGCGTTACCCTGCGGCAGTCTTCGCAGTATGCAAACATGACAACCTCAATCTTGACGCTTCGGCACAGCTGTTGCACGTTAATCATACTATGAACATCACAGGGCGTAGAAGGAACACTATGTAATAAGATCCTTGCCAATGTGAAAGTGCATGGACGATTCCGCTCATTCAGTAGACTATAAAATTTTTCGTGTGAGCGGGAAATTCGGGCAGTAGCCCGGCCGGCGCGACGCGCGCATTGTCGCCTACAAACCTAAGAGGATACTTCAAGCTTTGCGCAATGCACGAGGTATTCAGTTAGGTTTGTAGGCGCTAGTGCGCGTATCCCGCTGGTAGCTCCTCGCTCCGCTCTCTTAGAGTCTAATATTCAAACCCGCGAAGTCAGCGTTTTTCAACTCATGATTTGGAAATGTTTGCACGCTCTGCACGGATTATTCTCATTAATGTTGATGCGGGGATTATTTTTGTTGCAAAAATCGTATTCTAAATGAGACTTTGAAACGGAAACATAAATCAGAGTGCTTAAATTTTTACTAACTAACTAACTCGTCACTCTTGTAGCGCTTCTGTGCGCTCTGCGACACAAAACCGCCACTAATAGAGATCTTGCCAGAGCAACTCCGGCAGATCGCATCTCCTAATTGCCTGCCTTATTCCCTCGATTCACGATTTGGCAGGGCGTCCTCTACGTTTTCTGCCAAGGGGGACCCAATCTAGAACTTTCTTCAGCAACCTTTCATCAGCGGGCTGATTATTGAAATCGATAGACAAAGCTATAGACAAAGAAGACAAAGGGGGTATGGAGGGATCCTATTGGTTGAAATGTGTGGCTCTTGGACTAACTGTCGGGTTTCTCGTGGGTTGCCGTTAGTTAGTCTATTACCTACTGCCTTTGTCCATTGCAACCACCAGCTTCCACCTATAGGTTCCCTCCATATCCCTCTTGTTATCTTTGTCTAAAGCTTTGTCTATCACTTTCAAAAATCGGCCCGCTAGCATCCGTTGCACGTGCCTATACCAGACAAGCTGTTTCGTGCTTAAATTTTCACCTTCTTTAAAGGTCCATCGAATTGTTTCAGTCAATTTTGCAAATTTGTAAAGGAGTTACGTTCTTTCGTCTGAGAATTGGACGTATTTCTATCAAACGGAACTATGTGCAATAACACATGAGCCTTAAGACCCATACGAATGTATGCATTACAGGGCTCATGTCACAATGCACATAGTTCCGTTTGATAGAAATACGTCCAATTGATGGACTATAGCTCGCAGGTCATCATTGTTTGTCACCATTACGGCTTGGAGGTCATTGCAAAGGCTCGCAGGTCATCGATGGGAGTCGGCGGTGACCCTGGCTTGGCTGTGGAGTCATCACTACGGAAGTCATCACTGGAGAGGTCATCACTGGAGAGGTCATCACTGGAGAGGTGCTCCGGGGAAATGGATGCAGGTGACGACTGTTTCGTCCTCATCACTGTTGGTGGGTCTCACAATGTTGCCACTCAGCCGCTGACTACAGCCGCCAGTTGTCTCCTGACCCCACGGGTCCACGCCCAACGTCAAATTCGCGTTTCGCTATCACCAACAAACCAATCCATTATTCAAAGTCATCACTACAATAAGGCAAGAATAAGGCAGCTTCTACTTGTTCTGGTTGATACCCTCATGTTATAATAATTCTTAATACAATAATCATAGAAATCTCGAATATTAAGTAAAATATCATTAAATTTCATCTGTAGAGAGTTAGTATTAATGAAACCAACATTATAAACATAGATTTATTATAAATTTTAGGTTGATTAATTTTATTAAAAATCAAAATAAAAAGAATTCAAATTGATAAATCAAAAGTTCAAAATGACAGTTCGTCTCTTAGTCTCTCAATTCATCACACTTCATTCTGTTGTTCTGCTAGGCCTATCCTCATGAGTTTTTCGGTCACGACAGGAGATAGTCTCTAGACGAGCCCGCTCTATCCAAATTTTGGGAATATGACCCACTTTGATTATATATCAGGTGATAAAGTTTTGAATTCTCTCATCGAAACGATGTAGAGCGTCATTTTGGGTCACCGTTCAATCTGTTCATTCTAGAGATCCATCGGGTCAATTCATCAAAAAAAAAAAAAAAAAAATAATCATAAAAAAAAAAAAATCAAAGTTCAGACCTGACCATAATATATGAAAAATGATAAAAGCTGATAAAAAATTTTTTTATGGACAATTTTTTTTATTTTTTTATATAACGCATGCATACGAAGGTGTTAAAAGTGAACATTCTTATGTAACTATTATATAAAAAAAAAGGTCATCATTTTCGTGAGCTTTTCGCGAATTAGAGGATTTTTTAAAAGTGTTTGCGAAAAGCTCACGAAAATTTTGACTTTTTTTATGTAATGGTTACATAAAAATGTTCACTTTTAAAACTTTCTTATGCATGCATTATATAAAAAAAATTAACTTTCGTACACAATCTGTATCTTTTCCTTCTATGGTTCTGCTACTGTTCTCGTAATATTGACAAAATCACTCAGATGGAAGCAGATTCTGAGAGAAGCTCACATCATAGGAATGCGTGGTTTTGGCAAAAATTGCTTACGTCGAGGTGTTGATTTAATCATCTCTCACTAATTTTTACTTTTCTTTCTATTAGGTACTCTATTCTTCTATTACTTTGCTTCAAGAATACGGGACATAAGTATTGACTGAATGAACATATAGGGATACATTTAGACAAGATTGCATGCAATACATGCATGGTGGAAGAATGAGTCATTAAAGCCAGGCATCAAATCTCTCTCTGATTGATTCAGATGATTCCGCCCCGAGTTTCAATGTTTTCGGTCTGTTGTTTGCCCCTCAGCTAACAAAATGTTAAAATGACAGCTCACAGTGCCTAAGAGAAGCTAATTCCGTCTTTATTGGGAACTAGGTATTATCAACATATTTGGAGAACATTTTAAATTTTATCATGGTGATTCGAATAGACCCGAATGTTCTTTTCTTGTCCTCGGACGAAATTTTTCGGGAAACGTGCACGTGTAACATCAAGAAGTTTACCCAGAGGAACAGATAAAGCAAGCAAGGAGGACACATAAATAAAGTAGAGTAACATTGCATTAGGGTCATATTCATAGTAGTTCCTTGAGTCCTTTTATTTTGATAAATGAATATCAAAATATTCAGCACGATGGAGGGATATTTAATGCGTCTCTAATACAGTGAATTATAAGAGTGCGATGCATTGGCGGATCCAGCAAATTGGTAACATTGTCTTTTATCCATTTAAATCAATGGAAATGTATCGATTCTTGGAGGGGCCAGGCGCTCCGACAAGAATCGATTATTTAGCATAGGTTTAAATGGAGGAAATCCGATGTTGCCAAATTGCTGGATCCGCCGATGCGATTCCGAAGCTGTTGATGGAACGCAATTGAATCAAGTTATGAAAACCTGTTGGAAGTACTCTAGTTTAAGATTGCACGTTTCATGTATCCAATACGAAGAACAGACTCATGATGCTATTATGTTGATGACGACTATGAATAGAACCCTTATGAAGCTAAGAAGGCTCTTGACTTTTGGGCAAAATCATGCTAGCCGCCTTCAAAAATGATAAAATTGAAATTATTTAACTTAATCGAGTACAATACAATTTTTTAAGGTTGAATGTATACGGATTTTTTTTTCTCTTATTAGAGGTTCCCAATGATTTAGAGATTATCCCAGGAATGCTACTCACAAGACCTAACTGGTTCACCTATAATTCCTAATCTAAAACTGTCTTTGTCAACGTTGACAAATTATAAGTTCAGCTAGCACGCTTATGCCCAAAAATAGACGTGAATGAGTTATTTAAGTCTGCAAACCTACCCTGACGATATCACGACAGGAAGCGGTTCCTAAACTTTTTACGGACTGAGTATAGTTTTAAAGGGAGATTTAAAGATTAAAAAGATGGGCACTTTGATTTGCGGACATAAAAATCGCATTTGGATGGAACTAAGCAAACTGGTTTCATTGATTTCACTCGGGATATATTTATATCGAGATTATCGCATAAAGATCTATGTGAAATTTTTTAGGATTGTTCAGATAATATGTTAAAAAGGGGTGCATAGAAGAATTAGAATGGAGCGGGGAGAGCAGTAAGGAACTGAACATGGAAAACGGTTAGCTTTCGCAAAATCCACTCAAGGTTTTATTAAATCCGAAAGCCACTTAGATGTTTTTAATTCATGCATATAAATGTCATATTTGCTTTTTAAGCCAAAGCTTGGTTTGCACCGAACTTTTGGTCCGTTAAAGAAGCCCTCGGTTCGTCGAACCGAGGAGGTCGGTTCGCATGATAAAAGCTCCAGTTTCTTGAACTAGAAAGCGATTGCTGACTTTATAGGTTCGAACAACACAGACGTTTTGGTGGACCTCTCATGCGCAATTTCCAACTTTTGAGTCGGGTAGAACATCGAACTGAGAATTTGTAGGATGTCTGACAATGGACCACTAGACAAGGTATGAATTTCAGCATTCTGATACATGTTTCTTCGCCAAAATTTCACGTAAAACACGATGCGCACAACGAAAATTAGCCCGGTCGGCGCGACACGCGCATTGGCGCCTACAAACCTAAGAGGATACTTCAAGCTTTGCGCAATGCACGAGGTATTCAGTTAGGTTTGTAGGCGCTAGTGCGCGTATCCCGCTGGTAGCTCCTCGCTCCGCTCTCTTAGAGTCTAATATTCAAACCCGCGAGGTCAGCGTTTTTCAACTCATGATTTGGAAATGTTTGCACGCTCTGCACGGATTATTCTTATTCATATTGATGCGGGGAAAAAATTGTATCCAAGGCAAATATAATGTTCATTCTGATGCATGTTTCTTCGCCAAAATTTCACGTAAAACACGATGCGCACAACGAAAATTACCGAAATCAACTCTTTCCGAAGATATTCAATGATTCTTGGTGCGTGAATTGAAACCACCCGCTCATGAAAACTCAATGCTCTACGTAATTTACATCGCGTGCTAAACGTTATCATGAACGTCTCTGCAATAAAAAAAATCTGGCAACCTCAATCTTGACACTTTGGCTCAGCTATAGCAAATTACTTATAGTTTGAACAACACATGGTGGGAAATGAACATTGCTCGATTGAGAAGCTTGCTGAAACCGCTGTATTGCGCAATTTGACTCACGTAGAGCTTTGAGTTTCTTGTGAGCGGGCAGTTCAAATTCCTCGTAACCAGTGTGAAATAAAAATGTTAATGTGTCAGTTAGCAGTTGGTTTCAGTAATTGACGTTGCGCGAATCGTGTTCTACGTGAAATTTTGGTTCAGATACATGTATCAGTATGCTTAAATTCGTACCTTTCCTAGTGGTCCATTGGCGAATTTCATGATTAAGAAAAAGCTAATAAATGAACTGAGCATGAGAGTACATATCCTTGGTTTTTAAGATGAAAAATTGTTAGGGGATATATGACCAAATCACCTAATCTGCTAAAATACGTGTTTTGATGGGTAATGCTACCTGAAGACGTCACAAGGCAGTAGATTTTCGAACTTTTAAATCTTTACGGCTATAATTTCCCAAGTCAGGAATAAAAATGTGGAAAATACGACGAACCTGGCTCTTTAAGCACTCTCAAATAGAGCAATAACAATTTTTCGAGCAAATTATCCATTACCTGAATGCCAGCAGGCCCCCATAATGCTGATTCTTAATGAACCGCGTTAGGTAAGTAGAAAGGAACCAAACCCTATCAGCTATTGCCAAATTTAACCGGGCAATTTCATTTTTTACAAACGAACGTTTGTGCGGATACCTTTGAAAGAATTAAAGATTTTGCATCGTACTAGTTATGCAAAAAATTCACCGAAATTTGTACGAAAAACCATACAACCATTTTCATGTAAAATATTAAATTGCCAATTTGATTGCCAATTGAATTTGGAAATGGGTGTGTGGCTTGATTCCTTTTTGCTCAACGAGGTCAAAATAATCAAAATTCATGTCCTAATATCATGATCTTGAGAATAAACTCCTTGAAATGTAGATGTGCTCAGTTTGCTTAATCCCATCCAGTTGATCGGGGCTAGAGTACCTTTGTAGGGAGAGTATGGACAGCCCGATTTATGTAGCTCGTAGGGCCCAAAAGGGCGACAACGTAAAAAACGGAAATCACTATAGAAACATGCTGCTGCCACCTTAAGCATTTGGAATATCAATCAATGTGGCTGACTGCGCATTGTAAACAAGCGTCTTTAGGGATTAAGACTTTGAAATTGAGTAAATGTATTTGAAATCAAAGTTTTATACGTGCTTTCATAATTTTTGATCAGCGTAAATAGTTGAAATGTGAAGGTTAGTGTACCACAGGATAATTCGAGTTCATAGGTTGGCTACCCTTTCGGGCCCCAATGGCTACATGACTTGATCAAACCTAACCTCCAAATTTTCGAGTTATCTATATGTATGTGTAACATAGAGTACCTACATAGAGTCGTAATGTAAGTGGGAGAGCTGACGCCATGTTCTGATCGACGAGTTCCGAGCCTGGTGTACGGGGTCACTTTTTCGATACATATTCGATCCAAAATGGCGGTGTGGAATATGGCCGGGTCCCCGTGTATCGCAAACAATCGATTATGTATCGAAAAAGGGACCTGGCGCCGCACAGGAATCTCGGAATTCGGGACCTGGAAAATGCTTAAAAGTGGCGCCAGCTCTCCCACTTGCATTACGACTCTATGTACTCTATGATGTGTAAGCCGCTTTTACGGCGCGCTAGGGCGCTCTGCGACGCCTATCCGCCACAGGAATCTGTCACGGTAGAGATCCTCCGGAAGCTCGAGTTGTCCATACTCCCCCTATAAAGTACTCTGATCGGGGCGAGTGGAAGGTGTTGAGGAGTGACAACAGCAATTACTCACATATAATATCGATTTACCAATGATGGATGAGATCTGTGCGGCGACTTGTGGTTGGGCGGCGGGGCCGGGGCGGGGGGCGGGGAGGGCGAGGGGGGGG